ACCATATTTGGCAAATAGGTAGAGATGAATCCATAATTTTTTAAGCGCATCTTGTTACGAAAATACATATTTCCGTACATTCCACTTAGTGCACCAGCAGCACCAAGTATATGTGGTCCCATGGTTAGGGCCCAGATTTCCCGCTTCGGCTCCCATGTTTCAACAACTAATTCATAGAATCGATGTACTTGTTCATTCCGAAGATTGATGGCACCTGGTGGTAGTTCACCACTAACACCCTTTCGGCCAAACACTGCCATTTTTAACCGATACCGATCCGAAGGGACTTCCTGAACTTCTTATAGGTTATGATTTTTTAATATCATCTAATTGAATGAAAACGTACATCAACACATTATTGAAAACGTACATTATTTGAATATTTATTTTTGATGTAATTTTTTAAAAAGTTTAAACAAAAATGAAAAAATCAATGTTTTTTTGTAATTTATTTACGTACCAGTGACGAAATTCTTGAACATAAAGTATTTGACGTTTGTGAATCGGCGACTGTAAACCACTTTGACATTTCATTGAATTATTCCATTCAGTTTGGCATTTGTCGCATTGTTAGAACATATATTGCTATGCTGAATGAATTCCAATAAGAACTCAGTTCTATTGAAAGATTTGATATAGTCAATTTTATACGTTGATGTGTTTCTTTAACAAATTCTAGCACATGAACATCATATAAATGTATAAAAACTTCACATATTACTAATTTGTATGAGATACTAACCAATGATATTCAGCAACGACAACACTGAAACAAATATGGGAACATACATGTAACAAAAAAAAACTGTCATGCTCGATATTCACCGTTATTCAAACTACTACAGTGATAAAAGCGAGCGCTTACACATACACACACATGCACAATTGACACAAACACATGTGCATCGACACTGATTGGATATGTGCACAGAAATGAAAAATGTTCTCTCTCCCTCGCAATTGTGCGCTGCACCTCAGTTAATGTTCGTCGAATATATATGAAGATGGGGAGATGAGCCTGTGTGTTTCTCTGTCATTCATCGAACGTAAGCAGGAACCAATATTATATTTTTCAAACCAAGAGAATCAAGGATTCAATTTTTAGTTGTGTCTTTTAATAAACACAGTGTTTGTCGGAGCATAATTTAAGGACATCGATAAACCGAAAGAAAAGAGTTGTTTTTTTCCCGTTCCCAAAATGAGCCCAATTCGTTGAATGACAACATACTGTGACAGCAACCCTCAAACGAAAAAAGCGATGTTCGGAAGAAAAAATGTTTTTTTTTCTCGTGTGTGAATCCAGATCAGTAAACTTCAATTGCTGACATACAAAAGTACTAAATCAAATGAATTACTACTAAATAAAGCGCTTTCTATGAAAATCGATAAAAAAATGTGTTAATAAAAACTAAAATCTATTTTAAATTTAATTAAAAACTTACTTACACTGCATAACATAATCTAACACACCACAAGGATACACATTTGAAGCAAAGAGAAAATTTTCATCGATTTATTATGCTCAACCATAGCGATATTTTCTTGTGCAAGTAAACGTTGATTTTGTGTGTCCCATTTTTTTTTTGCATACAGAATATATTTGCATACAATTTTTAAATATTGATTGAATCAGTGGTTATACACAGTGGTTTTTATACAGTTTCGAAATCGCTAATTAATATTTTTATCTTTTGTTTTTTCTCTCGTGCATTGAGATGTGAATGTTTCCCGTTGATGTACCTGTTTAGAAATTACCTTGTTGAAAACTATGCGAATTTAAGATAATATAATAATATCAGTCTTAAGTGTTTGTAACTTCGAACCGATTCAACTAATTACAGTTTAAGTAAATTCAATAGAAAAAAACAATCGCCAAGTCTACTTGAACCTATTTTCAATCTCGAAAAATAAATAAATAATATAAAATGTTGAACAGTTATATTGTATAACGAAAAATGACCCCATTTCGGCAACAATTCATACGTTCTATTTGATTCGAATGGTTTGCGAGAGGAATCTGCGGTAAAAAAAAGTATATACAAAAAAACACTATAGTGCTATCTTCCATGCATCATTTGAATGAATTGAAAAGTGATTGTCCAAGTGAAATTCAATAGACGAAATTCACCACATTGATATCCAATTGATAGTAGATAAAATAAAGTTTTGTTAAGGTTTGCTCAAGCCTTTGTTTGTTAAAGCTAATTTTTAAAGAAGAAAAACTCACAAAATGCCAGTTAAAAAACAAGGTACGTGACCTCATTTTCTAAAGGAAACACAATCATGTGCATGCATTTATTATGAAATTAAGAAACACGCTCATTGAGAAAACATAATTGAGTTTGCAAGGGAAAAAAACATACTATTAACATTTAGATGAAACGAAACGCACTTTAATTATTTAGGACCATTTAGATGAAGTAAGCAATTGCTCTGCTGATTTTTACTGCATTGTGTTTTTTACTTTTCACTGTGTGATTGAGCGGTGTGCATGCTTCGTCTAAATGAGTCAATTATGAAAACAGCGTTTCCGAGATTAAACATTGTTGCAGAATATTTACTTTTACGACCGCGATAAATCCAGTTTTCTTCTCCCGTTAACTTCTAAAACGAGTCTTTTTTTTGTTTCAATGCGTTAAACTTTCAATGAAACTTTTCTATATTGACATTTTATAATGTAATTTCAATATAGATCTGAACCACCTAGAATAAATCAGCATTACTAGATAAATGTCTTCAAATTCGTTATAGAAAAAAGTACGTCAGCAATAGTGTCAAAAACTGTATGTGACGCGTTATATAAAAAAGTTCGCCAGCAAAAGCGTGACATCGTCCATATATTCTATAACGCTTTTGCTGACTGACTTTTTTCAGTAACACATTTGAAGACATTTATCTAGTAATGTTGATTTATTCTAAGGGATTCATCTAAGATACGACACCTGACTATTTGATATCCTTTGATTTGATTAGTTTGTAAAGAAAAGTTTTTGATACAACTTTTTCAATGCTTTCCATGCAGATAAATGTCATAATGGGTGCTTTCTATGTAGTCATGAACTATAATCAATTTTCCACAGCCAGTCAATAAATTGAAGAGTATCAAAAAATAACTAGCTATAATGTCTGGTGCCGTACATTGGCCTAATTATAAATCGATAGAAAATCACTCAGTATAAACACATTTTCATCATTAATATCAACTATTATTTCGTTGACGTGTATTTTACTACACATTTCGGTAATTTTGTTTCATCATTTATTCAATGATATTGATTCATATGGGTTTAATCGCATATGAGCAGATCATTGTTTTAGTTTTTCTTATACTAAATATCACGGCGATGCTGACTTTAATTCAAGCGATTTCGATTATATACCGGGTGTCTCATATAAGTGGCGAGTGTGATGTCAAATTGATTGGATTTTTTTTTTAAATTGGAAAATGATATAGGACCAGACTTTTGAATCTTTTTTTTTTAATTAAACATCACACAGTAGTGTCTCACTTATATGAGACACCCGGTACATATGGATTTGAATAAAAAAATATGTTTCGAGTGTCATAGGTAAATAAACCGACTGAGCAGTCATAGACAATGTCTTGCATACCGGCTGTCCTTATTTTAAAACTTCAAATACGATTCTATTTCTAGTTCACATTGCTGTGACATCTGTGTCCAAACTGTGGCATCTGCAGTCATTGTCTGATGAAAGAAACAAAAAATTGTTGGCATGAAAATATGTTTTGATTTTTGCAGTGGCACGACGATCTATGATTTTAGTTGAAATAATAATGCATTGCCATAAATTTTGATGAAATCACAGAGCAGTTTTATAATAAAAACATATTAATATTTAATGAAATAAGCCGCATTAAAATGACAAAGGAATAAATCGATTACAGGGCTCCTCGAATATTTCGCGAATCAATTTTATTTTTGTAACATGCCATTCACCAGCAATAGAACATTGTCTGAATAGCACGTGTTTCGCTGACGAACCTTCGCAGTAGCAAGTGGATAGAATATGGTAAATAGATGGGTTCATAATAAGGACTATCGCATAAAATTAAAGGGAAAATAATAAAGATGAAATAATGTATACATACATTATTGATGCTTTTTCGCCAGCTCTATTCAATTCCGATTGAACAAAAGCCTTTGCTTATCTGATACTGTACCAAAAATAGCTTATGCAAATGATAATTTAACAAACTGTCGTCATTTGTCGCTACAGTTTTCTGGCACGCATAAACGCTTTTCATTTTTCATTTTAATGGCAACAAAAAAAAACTCCAAAAACTTTTGCATAATTTTCGCTTGTGAATAAGCAATTGTGTTCATTTATAATTTCTAGTACTTTTTTCCATCATAAATGCTATTCTTCAAGTCATTTGCTATTTCATCCATCAAGAAGCCATACCAAAAGACTCGAATACAAAACTAAGCCATCAATAGTCCCACTGTTTTTTGTACGTCACCATCTTGTCGGTGGTGTTTCATTAAAAAAAATGTAATGTTTCCATTGATGTCATTGATTGAAAATTCTTGCATTTAGCTATGCAATGATGCCACACACTACATGAGCGAAAATGTTTCGTTTTGTAAGAATATAAGCAAAACAAAGGAAGCGGTGTCATTGTGTTGCCGCTTTTTCAATACTAACAACATGCTATGTTGCTCATGATATAGATTACATCCCATCAGAACTGTTATTGCTAATGAATAAAAAAAATCAATCAAGTAAATGGGTCGAGATTTAATTAATTTTGTGTCAAGCGCAACATAATTCTTTGACTGACAACTAAATTGAATTATATATTTATATTAAAAGGTGCGCCAATTCATGTGCCCCAAAACAATTTTGACTAACATTCATTTAAAAATACATATATAGTGCTTTAAACTCATTAAACTTCACACTATTTGTTCTAATTAATTAGGTGCGAATTACGTGTGAATACGAGATGGTTGGTTGGCACCAAATGACATTAAATTTTAATCAACCACTGTTTGTTTGTAATATTCATTGTAAACTTATTTCCAATTACATCATAATTTCACTTAATTTTCTCTATCAAGGACATTCAAATGTCATCAACAATTTATTTAATCTCTTGTTTTCGAACGCGGTTAGAGAGGGTCCCGCAGAGGGAAACTCGTTTTTATGTGTGTGTGTTTTTTTAAACAAAAATCATGTTTTATTCACAAAAACAGCTATTTTTATCGAATGATATTAATTATGACGTTTTTGTCCATTTCTAGAAGCACATCGTGCATTAGAATTGTTGGAGGACTATCATTCTCGTCTTGCTGCACCGCAAGATCGTACTCTACGGATTGCCATCGAACGTGTCATTAAAATCTTCAAATCCAGACTGTTTCAAGCATTATTGGGTAAGTACTTTTTTTTTCATCGATCAAAATATTAATCGGCTCAAAGAGCGGAGAAATGAATTGAAAGAGAAATCCCGTTTCTCGATCAATAATTCATAGAAAACGCGGGTAAGACAGTTTAAAGAATTCTTTTGAATTCGTTGAACTGCCATTGAAATTGTATCGTTTCCTGTAGAAGAAAAAAATCAGTTCATATGGAAACATATTTTCCATGACCTGTTTGGTATTTCCGAATGTGAGTAGAATTTAAATTACTCAAATCGTTTATATATTTTACACTTTTATAGTAACAAAAGTCAATTTAATATAATAGATGTTCAACAATTGTCGAAAAGTGTTAGTATTTCAAGTTTACTATTTTTGTTCCCCTAACTGACATTGTTAGTCTGACAACATCGAACTTTTGATTATCAATCAGCGTAATGGCATAATCGAAAACATGAACGTGAAATAGATTTCAAATTTGTCGCTTTAAAAAAAACTTCATATATCATCGTGTATAGTCGTTCTATTCGGAAATTGTATGGTCGGAAATTGAATGTAAAATGTGCAGTTGAAGTATGCCATTCAATGAACATATTTTTTTTTTCAATTCAATATATGTATTTAAAGACATTGATTGACAGTTTGCGTTAACTTTCAATAGATGGCTTCATTTACTTATGAAAAAAACGCATACTCTGACATGTATTGTCGCGTGCGCACTCTAGTGCCTTGTAAAGTACATTTGACAAAATATACCAAAGAGAACAGTAAGAATGACATTAATTTGCTGAATCGGTGTTGAACAGCGTCTTAACTTTTAAATAACAAAAAAAGAAAACTCATTTGAAATAACTAAAATAAAAGCAAAATTGTTCGTGCATCGAGTAAAAGGCAGGTAGGTAAACTTGTGAATTACATAAGAAATATTGTATTTTATAACAAAAATGTCGGTCATAGTTTTCAGGTCAGCGAAACGAAAGTGAATTGATCGAATCGGCTTTTCTGTAATTTTCTTCGTTTTTTTTGTTCCGAAAAAGTGATTGAAGAAGAAAAAACACGAACGAGAAAATGTTCGGAAGTATAACAACGTATTTGAATGCAGTGGCCCGTACATGGCATGCTCAAGACGGTGCACTTGTGGGTCAGTTAGTGTCTCTACGGGATCGTCATGCAACCAATGCTCAATTGCAGGTTGAATTTCCAGAAAGTATGGTTGAACGTATTCTCGATGCACCAGTCGATGAGATTGTGGCCGAACATATAAAAGTTCTTTATTACCTGTCTCGTTCACGTATGTTTTTTTAATCTCCCATATGTATTTAAATACTTTATTATAAATCTTTAATCCGTCTTAAATACAATAGCGAAAAATTACATCAAAGCATACAAACATCAAACGGCATGTGCACAAAATGTGGTTAAAATGTTGACAGCAATGAAAGAAGAGAACTGGTCGTTGCCCATAATGTACGTGGTCTGTTTGGATTTAAGATTATTGGCTCAAAAATGTGAAGAATTTGAAGGTAGCCACGTATCAAAACCGGGTGAGATTCTGGAAAAAGCTGCTGAATGTTTGATGGGTTGTTTTCGTGTGTGTGCCGCTGACAGCAGGTTTGACGTCAAAATTCACATTTAATTGAACATTTCAATAATAAGGGAACTTTTTCGGTAGATCATCGGATGAGGATACAAAACGGTTGGGAATGTTAAATTTGGTTAATCAACTATTCAAGGTGTATTTCCGCATAAATAAATTGCATTTATGTAAACCATTGATTCGTGCCATTGAAAGTTCAGCATACAAAGACTCATTTCCACTAGCCCAGCAAATTACCTACAAATACTTTGTCGGACGCAAAGCGATGTTCGATTCTGATTACAAAACGGCCGACAGATATTTGAGCTATGCGTTCAATCATTGTCATAAAAAATTTCCAAAAAATAAGCGTCTCATTCTGATCTATTTGGTGCCGGTGAAAATGTTGCTTGGTTATATGCCAAAACGTGAGATGTTGGAACGATACGATGTACTTCAATTCCATGAATTGGCATGTGCATTGAAAGTGGGTAATATTTCGAAATTTGACGAAGTCATTCAACGGCATGAGAAATTTTTCATCGAATATGGCATTTACTTGATTGTTGAAAAGCTCAAAATGTATGGATACCGAAATCTTTTCAAACGGGTAAGAGAACGTGACAATTTTAAATTTTTGGCACAGTTTTAATTGAAACAAATTCAATTTGCAGGTGTATCTTATCACACAAACACATCAATTGGACTTGCAAAATTTCTTATTTGCTCTTCAATTTGCCGGCGAAACGGATATCACGATGGACGAAACACATTGTATTGTATCGAATTTGATTTTTGAAGGACGTATCAAGGGATATATCTCACAGCAGCACAATAAACTCGTTGTATCCAAACAAAATCCGTTTCCATCGCTACACACAATTTGTTAATTTTTTGCAATCATCCGAAAAATGAAATCAAATATATTTCACTGAAAATCATAATTAGCCATTGCTTGTGTTTTTCTTCTCTTTTTCAATTGAAGACTTTTGTCGTTATTTCAATAAAGAAACAACAATATTTTTTTAATACTTATGTCTTCTATTATTACATTTTTTTGACTACAGATATTCAAGAGTTTTATGAATTAACATTGTTAGACGACACAAAAACGATTCAACAGAAAACAGTTGAAACACTTCAAATCGCATCCAAATGGGAGCAAGAGAATTCACTAAAAATCAATACGTCAGAGGTAAGAAATAATCTAGATTTTCGCTTTAAGAATACTCCATTCATGATCGATTACAATGGTTCGCATATCAGCCATCTGAAGAGCATTCGTTAATCACACCACCCGTGTATTGAATATTTACACACTTGACTTAGTAACCAGTCAATAGGCTTCGAGCACTGTACGTGCCAAATTAATCGAGTAAGTGGAAATGCATCGAAGCCGTACAAGAGATTTTAATTGCACTCAATCAATCATCTTTTTGCATATGCATTCATTCATCGGACGGTGTATTATTTCCTTGTACTAGACGAATACCTCGAATATATTCGATTCTTTATTATTTGCATATTACTTACGTGCATACTTTCAACCGGTACAATGCACCGGGATATGAAAAGTTTTCATTGAAAAGAAGCCGAACGCTCTTTTGAGGGTGTGTTGTGTATTTAAAGCTTCTCCGAGGCCCAAAGGTATACGTACAAGCCCTGTTTGCATATAAATAATACATTGTTCGGTACATTGGCCGGCGATCGGCAATTCAGATAGCTGATATAAATATAGATTCGCAAAAGTCATGAAAGTACATAATATATATTTTCCGTTTTTTTTTCTTCTTCTCTCTTCCTCAGACAAAAGTAACAGCTATGAATAATGCTCATTTGCCATTAACACAAGCGTTAATAAATTTAAAAGAACAGCAAGAGTTGCATGAAATTCAGGTATTGATTTTTCATACCCTCAATTTTTTTTATGTTGCAAAAAAAGAAGAAAAAAATTATGACGATAAAAAGTGGAAATATGAAACAATTAAAAATTGTATATACATTTATACATTTGTTGAAGTGAGATTCGCACAGCAAGCAATGTAATGAGTTTTTCTTTTTTCATTTATTTGTTCAGGTCTTCAAATTTAACAATATGTAAACATCAAGGGAATACCTTGACAGAGCCCATTTCTTGTTAGATTTTAATTTGCTAAAGTGTAAAGTGAGAAAGAAAAGCCCACTTGTCGTTCACTTCACTGTCATGTATTCACCGACCATTCTCCATATATCGTGTGTGATTTAGCGTTTTTTACTCATATCCTATAAATGTGACCGCGCTTTGCCTTGCACACGCACGAGTCAAAAGTAAAATGGAAAATGAACAGAGAACGCTTGTTTATTGCTTAAATGTATTTGCTGCGAGCTGCTTTCTCAAACACACATGGAATGGAAAACATATAGATTTAAGTATACATTACAATAACGTTTGATATCGCACCCTCACAGACACATCTAATCTTTTCGAAGGCAAATCATCTCGACAAAACGTTCTACGCAAGTATATCTATATACAAATGTATATAGATTTCTTAACAAATAACAACAGCATGCGTGGACGTGTACACTGTTTTCAGTCCTGACATTTTCAGTAAATAGATAGAGATATATAAGCTGGTGTTGAAATGTGTTGTTTGTTTGTGGTAGTTATATCTCGTAGCGTTTTAGCTGTACCTTCTTAAATGCTGTGCAAAAAAATAAGTCCGTGGACGTTATGAGCTTTATGAATTAGTATCTATTTGTAGTTTCACGAATGCAAAAGCAATTCGACCAGACCCGTGCCATATTTATATATACATATTGTGGCGCGAAAGCAACAAAAATCATAGATATATTTTAAATCGTAATCTATACTTAATGAATACTTTGTTTAAATGGTTTAATTTTTTTCGCTCTCGAGAAATGTTTGTTTCGGCCAAACAAATTAAACATTTTGGTTTCCAGCTACGTTTGAGCCTGGCACGGGACTCTAAAATCAGTTCGTTGATCAATCGATGTGAATAAGTGGTTTTAATTTGGCGATTTCACAAAGGAAAACATGACAAATACAAGAAGCAATTTGCAAAAACACTTTGAAACGTTTTAAGAGAGAGAATAACACTTTTTTCAAGTCAAGTGTCTTATTTTAGAATTTTTGTGGCAAACACTTCTTATTTACACATGTAAAATTTGGTCGTAATTCTTAAAATGATAATTTGTTTCTTTGTGTATCCTCTCTCGTTTGATCTAAATTCAATGTTCATCCTGTCAAACACGACTCTTTTTTTTTAAAGAAAAGCATTTAAAATGTTCATGCACGTTAACATTACATTACTCACAAAGCATCGCCGACTCGGTTTGAATCTTAGCAAAAAAAGTATGCTTCGAATCAAGTGAACGTTTCCTTTAGTTGAAAATGAAAAAAAAAATGTGATGAATGTGCACAGACACCAAATTGTCTTCATTTAATAACCATTTTATTGAGCTACATTTCCCAATACCAATATTCTAAATATTTTATTAACAACACTGCGCATTAAAGTTGACCAATAAAAAAACACAAGTCACAAAATTTTATACAAAGTTGACGCGTAAATGTTAGAAAGCCAGTTAGGAACGGAAATTTTAACGACTGTTTAACTTCGACTACACATGCGTTATACAAATTGGTGATGAGAAAAAAAAAAGAGAATAAAAATGCCACAGTAAATTAATAGAGAGAAAATTGAGAAAATTGATACATTTTACACCTACGCACCTTGGGCAAACCAAAATTAAAATACAAACTAAATTCCTCGATTGATCAGCGCATAACTCAATTTCACAAATTTGCCAGATTTGAACGGTTAAGCAACGCTGGAAACCAATAACATGTGTTCAACGTTCGTCCCAGCTCAGGGACTCTCGTAAGCGAGAAGATTTATTAATTTGTCGCGAAATTTAGAACATTTTATATGCAAAAGAAAGACGAATAAATATGACAGCCAAAACATATTTACGAATCATACAGAAAATGTTGTGAAGCGTCAATTTTTGCATCAATGTGAACGAAAACGATATCAAATGTGCACTATGAACATATAGAATTTAATGAAAAAAAGTGTTGTCATTTGAATAATCATAAAATGATTGATTGGGTATCGATTGTGCGACATTCGAGACGTCGTTTTTCAAATTATGTTGGAGCCCGAGCTCCGATTCGCATGAAAAAACGTCGTCGCACCCCAATGTCTGCAACGGTCGTTTCACCAACGGCCACAAATTCCCAATCATCACCAGAAGATCGACTTCATTACAGTTGCTGTTGCGCTCATGTAAGTGTATTCGTATCTATTATACAGTGCGGATATACAATGAAAATATGTTGTTTAAAGTCGTTATTCAACGCGAAAATTTCCATTTTTTCCCCGAAACTCTTACTTTTTTTTTTCAAAGTTCATTTTCGTTGGTTCCTTTTTTGTGTTAACTTTTTCAACGGTGAATAATATAAACATGGAATGTTTATTTGCAGAATCAACAACGTTTTAAAACCGAGAATGAGAAAACAATTCCGAACAAGTGTGAGTCCGTGGTAAACAATGTTGAAACTGCTGTAAAGAAAAATGAGTCGTCTTTGCAGCTATCGGTGAGTGTTTAATTTACTTGAAACATTTTGCATGTAAATATTATAGATTTGCATGTCGGTTTGTTTATACATGCGATGCATACATTGTATGTACACTATTTCGATGTTGAACGTAAACCAAGCGATTTCTCTGTGAAAATAAATTGACATTTGCGCTAGCGCAACGTACGTAAATGAACGCAACTGAGCCGGCGCGTTGATCAGTGGCGTCAGTTTCAAGTCAATGCGTAAGCGAAACGACAATCATCACGTAGTTGCCGTTTTTTGGTATAGGTATTCAGCATACTCATACGCTTTAACCGTGTACCTGGTCAACGAAAATGAATAAAAATAGTTTTTTGTTGAGCATGTAAAGCGGATAACTGAAGTGTCTTGCGTTAGACTGTTTGGACTTTCTCTGCTTGTTGTTTTTTTTTTTTATTTCGTCTTTCGTTTGTAATATTCAGAGGTATGAATGTGTGAGCAGTGACCGAATATGTGATGTGTTGGCCAAACAATAAATAATATGGCTACGTTAAGTTTAGTTCAGATCGACGCATACACGACGTACCGTGTGTCGGCTTCATTGATACCACGTCGCTTGAATTAACTATCTTTCAATTTCTCTTGTAATGTGTGGATACTATGTGTAAGAAAAAAAATCGAATTCTTTGTACACACACAAAAAAATAATCCAAAGTTTTCATAACACAAAGTTTTAAGAACGATATAAACAAAAAACTTGAATTGAAAATCCAATTTTTGCAAAGTGAAGCGTTATGATCGTTACCAACAAAAATATACGAAAATAAAAAAAAATCAACATATGTGATCAAATTGTGTAAATTGCATACACAAATCAATTTCTAGCGAAATGTTGTGTGTATTATTGAGAATGCCGATGTGCCGATGCATTGGAATGTTTTTCAAAATTGTGTGTAATTTAATAAGTTGACATTTTTTTTGGTGTGTGCATTAGCTTAAAGAGTTTGATAAAGAGTTTTAACGAAGGTTGAATGAATTTATCAATTCATACAATGTGAATATATGGAAAACCATCCAAAATAAAACGATTCGTGATGTATTAAATATAGAAAAAATGATTAAAAATGAATGCGATTGGTTATTATTATAGATTCTCGTTTCGTATTTAGATTGCGTGTGTAGCTACAATTTTTGTTTGATCTGTGCATTCATTCAAATGTGTGCTAGTTTATATTACACATATGTGTGTCTATACCGTGAAAAGAGATGTGCTTGTGTGCGTTTGGTTTTTTCTCTGATTCTTGACTCTCAGTTGTGTCTGTTCTTCCTTGTACGCGTGATACTTGCCATTCAACATATTTCATTTATAATTACATACATGAAATGCGAAAGAACGAGCGAGAGAGAGAGAAAACGAAGAAAATATTGAACGAAAAAAAAATTACGAATACGTGTTTGAGCACTTTTTCCATCGTCGCTACAAAATTATTCGAAATGTTTATATGAACTCTTTGCCTACATTCGGTTTCCCTCCTAACAACTATTACAAATTGTCACCCATTACAAACAAACATGAAAACGAAACAATTTGAATCACATGCATATAGCCTTCTAATGAATTCGTCTGTCTAATATTTTATGACATTATCTTTTATCTAACAATGTCATAGTTTTCATTCGAAAACAAAAATATCGAATAATATTTGTGCCATTTTGCAACGTTACACGACGTCTGACGATATATTCATGAAACAAAAAGTTTCGGTTTTTTATTAATCCGTTGTTCGATCTAAAATACGCTTAAATTTACCGCACGAATGCCAAAATCAATGTTAATTGAGTTTATTTTCAATGACATTTCATTTCATAGAAAAGACGAAAAGAAAAACCACATTTGTTATGACAATCATAAAATAATTCCATGGCATTCAATAGCATTGTGGTATAGTAATCGATGTACTGGATAGCTTGTCTTCTATATTTGTGACGCGATGAATTTAACATGTTAGTTTCAGTCCGACACACTGATAATGATCGTAATAAATGCCAATTGCTGTAATTATACCGTAAAATTATTTATATGTAAAAAAACGGTAGCTTTTTGTTGTTCAAGTTGCGGTCCACTTTTTTCTATGGGTGTATTAAATTCAAATTTAAATGAATAGCGCCAATAAAAGTTAATTAATTTTTCAAACATAAATTTATAGACAGAGAAAAACATTGTTCAAGTTCAAGACGATTCCACTTCCGCTTTCACTTTTCGTGTCGTATGAAAAAATCAAATGATCATCATACTGAAATGAATGAAGGCAACGCCTTTTTTATATGTTTGAATAACATTCAAAGGTAATGCGTTAAATAAACAGAACACTTCTAAACATAGACACGAAACAGAGAACGATATACCGCTGCGGTGCACACTTGTATACGGCAATCGTTGAACAATAAATTGAAATTCAATTTTTTTTTATAAACGTCTAAAGCAGACGTAATTTGGCTTAATTCATTCACTGTACGGTTTTTTCGTAAATAAAGATCACTTGACATGCTGCCATTGTATTGAATTGTATTTAAATTCAACATACAGCAAATGAATTCCACATGCTCTGCAATCTTAAACAGATATGTTGAATGACCTGAATATTTTTGGAGAATCATTTTGTTACGATACAATTGATACTAAATGCCAGTAGTCGAAATTGAGTATGCATACACAATGTAATTATTATTGCATTAAATTAGATTCATTGTCGAATTCTAAGCACACTCACACAATACTATATTCTATATTTAACGTCAACTGTTAAAATTTGTTCTAACAATTTTCGAGTAAAATGACCTCGTGCATAAATCTTCGCTATAAAATCAAGCGTTAAACCGCACTCACACACACACTGCTGAAAAGTCCTAAAAATAAATACATACTATTGTATGATTTGCAAGAATTTTATTTAATTCGTAAAGAGTTCGTTTTATTTTGCCACAGAAAATAACCCGTTGAACCCTTTTTCATTTTGGTTATTCGGTTGAACTTAAATCAAACTTAAATATATTCTGTCAGTTTGTAATGAGAAAAATGTTCGGCAGATAGAACAATAATGAACTTTCATCGTCGATTTGACTCTTTTTTTGCACAGAACCGTATTAATAGTATCAGTTTTAAATAGAAGCGGCGTTTAAACAGCGAACGCTTTTTTTTGGCACATTCACATATAGCCAACAATAAAATCGGCGCGTACATATGAAACACCAAATATCTGACGACATATCTGTCATTTAAAAAAAAAACAGTCTGAAAAATTAAGTGAACTGCTCCAAAAATAAATACTTTCATCATATAACGCATTCAGATTTCTCGCCGCACATCTTCGGTGAAAATAAATAAAATCCGCTGTGATGAAATAACCACTTGATTTAGTAGTCTTATATTATTTCAGTTTTGATCGTCAAAATGAATAAAATGAAGTGATCCTTATTGCACAATTCGAATCAAGGGTGAACACAGTGTCAATGCAACTATCTGTTACAATTTTAGTTTGTAGGTGTGTGTGTTTGTCAGTGTGATGAAATTCGACATCGTATAAATGTATAATCATAAACAATCAATCCAAGGGAATAAAAGAATACGATGACGCATTTTATGGATTTGAGCATTTATAAAACATAAACAGCAACATCGTATCCATAAAAAAATTGTTAGTGCTCCTCGAATTGATGCGGCGTGACATACATACAATATTTCAAATAATTTACGACACAAAGTGTGATGACGATTGCGCTTATCAAATTTTGTGCACTTCTGCAATTATTATTATTATTTTTTTAATATTTTGTGTTTTTTTCTTTTTTTATTTGTAGATTTTTTAAATTTAGGATCAATATCGCATGTGTTTTTAAGTGTGAAACTAAAATAAATTACGAATAAAATATATGGATTGTTTGAAATCAAACATCATTACACAGAATCAAAATAAATAAATCACTTTATTCAATGCTATTAAAACGAAATTAACGACAATTGGTGCGAAAACATTTAGGAAGTATAGTTTTTTTTTAATTTAAATAAAGTGTAATACATTTAAGCAGTTAAAATGACAACAAGAAAAAAGAAGCGTCAACAAGAGAATGTTGGATTTTTGAAAAAGGTTTCATCACTTTTCAATTTGGACACGGTAAAATATTTTGCGTTTATGATTTTCTACACTTCTCTTCTATATTTCTGGTGAACGGGGGCTAAATTAGTTTACTTTTACTCTTAATTCGTATCTTTGGGGACTATTTTCTGGTATTCTTTTGGCATTATTTCTGTTAGAAATCTATCTAGCTGAAAATTAACATTGATCTGACGGTGCTTCCTTCCAATAAAAAAAAATACAAATGAATTCAATAGAAAAAGGATTGAAAACGATAATGCAATTATCATAATTGTTAGGACCTGTTTAATTCTTGTGTTTAATTTTCTCTTTCATGTTTCTACCACATTAACTTGAAAAATAAATGATAAAAGACACATTCATCTGCGTGTAAAAATGAAGTGAGTGAAAATGGAGGTAGTATAGAATAGATTTTAATAATCATAACACTGCACATGTGCACCTACGAAAAGTGCTATCAAATGGCTTAGTTTCCGACACTCTAGCTGTACTTATGGAAAATAGAAAATTGTGCTGCTGTTTGATAGCTCTTACGTTAGTATGCCATAAACATTTTCAGTAAAATTTAGACGCTTCGAGAGTGTATTTTAATTCACCGGGGCTTTCAAACAACTAATAATAACAAGTGTATTTTTGTTTCACTGCAAATTAAAAACAAAAACTGGGCATTGTCGCACATGTCGAATTTGGTGTAAAAACTGTAAAAAAAACCACATTGCGTTGGTGTAAATAATGCTATTCTAATTTATGACACAATATTTTTAATTACGGGCAAGAGAGCTTCCGCTGATTATGACTTTTTCAATCAATTAAATGATTAATCAGCAAATAACTTACTTTTTTATGTGAATTTATCGCAAGATTTGGGTTTAGCTGGGATTTTATTGTGAATTCGTATTGCTTCTCACTGGCTCTAATCACTAAAACAATGGATTAAGAATCAATTACATAACCTTTCCAACTAACAACAGTCCCCTTAACAATGGAATATTCATTATTCGCTTATAAATCAAACTAACAACTAACTGTTCACCTACATTGATATATTATTTTGAAAAAATCGATTTTTGTGCAAACATAGCGACTAATCAACTATAATTCAACTTACTAAATAAGGATTGATTTTTTTTTCTCTTTTCCAAAGAACCATATTTCCTAATTAACAATTGAATAACTGGTTGTTTGTTTAATTGGTTGAGTAAATATAGTTTGGTGCATGGTGTTCACTATTTTTGTCGTTGATTTTGAGTAGAAAAATACGATTTGGTATGTTTATGTTGTAGCATATAAGATGTTTTCATCAAAAAACATGTCACGCAAAATAAAAAAAAAACTAAATTTAAAAACTGCGTGTATTGTTTAGGTAAATGGAGACGAGAGTTGGGCACATGAAGAAATCACATTAGAACGTGGTTCATCTGGATTGGGATTTTCGATCGCTGGTGGTACTGATAATCCACACATAGGTGTGGACACATCAATTTATATAACAAAATTGATACCAGGCGGTGCTGCGTCAAATGATGGACGTTTACGTATTAACGATTGTATTACAGCGGTAAATTATCGAATTCATTGAATATTTAATTATGAAATTATGTAAATATCTGATTGTCTATTGTTTTTTTTGTTTGTTTCTATTGACATAACGCGTTAGGTTAATGACGTGTCTGTTGTCAATGTCACTCATGCAACAGCTGTTGAGGCATTAAAAAGAGCTGGCAATTTGGTGAAACTTGTAATTAAGAGAAAACGACCACCATCTACACCAAAAACCGTTGACATCGATTTAGTAAAGGGAAACAAAGGTTTGGGATTCTCTATTGCCGGCGGCATTGGAAATCAACATATTCCAGGCGATAATGGTATCTATGTCACAAAGATTATGGAAGGAGGTGCTGCACATGTTGATGGTCGTTTATCCATCGGTGACAAATTGGTCGCCGTTAGAACAGCAAGTCTCGTAAGTTTATGTGCATTTATTAGAGATTGACGTCGTTTTGGCGTTTACATTGAGAAACAAAATCAATTGAAAACACGTTTTCTCTTTCGTTTTCATCACGGCACAGGGTGAACGCAATTTAGAAAATGTAACACACGAAGAAGCAGTTGCAACACTCAAATCGATTACGGATAAGGTGACATTAGTCGTTGGCAAGACAAATTTGAACCTCAACAATTCCAATTCGATTGGATTAAATAATTCAAATTCACAATCAACAAGTGCCGTTAATAGCGTAGGCCAAACTGTCGTGGACTATGCACGCTCACAATCACCAGCAGCTGCAGTTAATTCATCACGTGCACATTCACCTCGTACGTTTTGTTTCTTTTTTTGTCATCGATTTTCTTCGGAAAAAATGTGTTCAAATCTCGATTTTTTATTTACAGATTTAGAGAGTTCGTCAAGATATGCATCTTCAAATGTGCTAGCAGCTGTACCACCAGGAACTCCAAGAGCAGTCAGCACAGAAGATATCACAAGGTATATAATAGACTGTGTTGAAACAAAATTGTCACCCTATAAGTTTTGCTATGACATATGTGTACGAATATGGAATTGATTTCGACACAGACTTTTGGCCCAACAACAATCATGTACTGACTTGTTTTTTTTTCTCTTCTCTCTACTTGTCACACGAAACGTATAACATGACCATATGCATTTAATGCGTGAGTGCATGCATATCGATCCAGTAAATTGTTTTTCATAAAGTAGACTGTTGTTTCCATTCAACTGCAGTACATGATTTTGTGACTCAACCACATTCATTAAAAAGTTGAACAATGATTCCATTGTATATTCATAATACATTTTTTATTTCGATGATAAGGGAACCGCGAAGCATTACAATACAAAAAGGTGCACAGGGACTTGGATTCAACATAGTTGGTGGTGAAGATGGCCAAGGTATTTATGTATCATTTATTTTGGCTGGTGGACAAGCAGATGCTGGCGGTGAACTCAAACGTGGCGACCAATTGCTAAGCGTAAATGGTGTTAACCTACGAAGTGCTACACATGAAGAAGCAGCTCAGGCTCTTAAGGTATATAATCTAGTTTTATTCCATTTTTTCGTCACAAATTAATACAAAAAAATTCTCTTTTTCTTGTGCAGAGCTCTGGTGGTGTTGTTAACTTAGTTGCTCAGTATCGGCCAGAAGACTACAATAGATTTGAGGCAAGAATTCAAGAACTGAAACAACAAGCTGCCATAAACGCTGGCACCGGCACACTTTTGCGAACATCACAGAAACGTTCACTGTACGTACGAGCACTGTTTGACTATGATCCAAATCGAGATGACGGCCTGCCATCACGGGGGCTTCCCTTCCGACATGGAGACGTTTTACATGTTACAAATGCATCAGACGACGAATGGTGGCAAGCGAGACGAGTTATCGGCGATGGCGAAGAAGAAGGTAAAGATTTCATATTTTTTGCACATGCATCACCATACTAATCGATTCTAATAATGTTGCATCGCAGGTATGGGTATTGTACCATCGAAACGACGTTGGGAACGGAAAATGAGAGCCCGAGATCGTAGTGTCAAGTTTCAGGGACATGCAACAAACAATGTTGATAAGGTAAACTCCGTTAAAAGTTCAATTGAAATATTTTGTTTAGTAAAAACAACTCCAATTTCAACAGCAATCAACGCTTGATCGAAAAAAGAAAAACTTTACCTTCTCACGAAAGTTCCCGTTCATGAAAAGTAAAGATGACAAAAACGAAGATGGTTCAGATCAAGAACGTAAGTTATTCAAGAGTTTTGTCCATTCATCCTACTAAACTCATCAAACATATTCATCACATACTTCAAACAGTTTTAATTCTATTCAAGAGTTCGAAAATGACATATGCTTTTTTTGCTATTTGTTCGGTCAAGGGTTGTGTGTAATTGATTCAATGTGATGAAAAACTGTCTTTAGTAACCGGTAGCTTACCTCAAGTTAAATACTTTCCTTTATTCAATACAGTTGAAATGTGGTGTATAATAGTCGGCGAAACACAATCACACCAAATTCCCAATCGAAATAGTTTAAAAACATCATGTATTTGTCTCTTGATACAAATAGAATTGCTTTGTTCATTTATTTATTTATTTTTAGTTCAGTTTTTGTTTTGTAACGCTGATTTTTTGTTTCATTATATGTATCTTTTTTTTTAATTTTTGGAATTCGTGTGTTTTCTAAATGTTCGAATTAAATCCCATAACCCTATTCAAAATTGAACGCTATTATTGACTTAAAATCAATAGTCACAAATGGGTCAAATCATAACGGTGAAACTAATCAAGATTATCAGCGTAAGTGGCCACCAGACATTATGTACTTTCAATTGATTCAAGTTGATTTTACTGTGAATAATTCATTGGATTAGTTTTAGTTGGCTTATCATCCACACTTCTTCAATTTTTTTTAACACTTTCCTTCCCATTGTTTTGTTTTTGTTAGTTGAATTTTTCATTTGTTCACATCAAATCACACATTTTTGTATTATGCATCATCAATCTAGATCTACCACATTTTGTGACTTAATTGATTTTGAATGGCATTTTAACACAGTGATTAATCTCGAAGTCCAACTGTATAAACCTTTTTTTTTATGTTCGAAATTCGAATCGTTGTCTATTTCCTGTGCTAAGAAATCAAACAAAATCGATTAAGTATACATAAATGACGAGCCAAACTTCAAGTAACATAAATTTTTCTTTTAAAAATTGCAGCTTTTATGCTTTGCTATACACAAGATGATGCGAATGCTGACGGAGGTATGTACTTATGCCATAAATTCATTCATTTTTCTATATTCAATAATAAATTAACCAAAACTGAATCTACTAGTTTCCGCTATTATCCGACTAACATACTCATTATATTTTATCATCTGTCGTCTATGTAATTCTCTCTTCTCATGTAATGCATTATCAAACGTTTTTTTTTGTGCCAACGTAACTGTATTGTTTTTCTTTTTGCGTTCCCAAATCGAATTGTTTGTGCGTTGCAATTTCTATTTGAAGCATATTTGTGAGCACTTTACATTCGTAAAGTTAGAACCATAAATATTCTAAACGCATTCAATGTGAGTACATAGAAACTGCAACGTACTGCAAAAGTGATCGTGTATCTAATCGTTCATATGCGTATTCACTGACATTTTAATTAAGAATTCTGTTGTATATATATATGATACATATTAATGCGAGTGACAAAAATAATATATATATATATAAATACTGTACTCTGAATGTTTATAGGAATATATATTCATTTACGAACGTAATTCAATATTGTTTATACTCAATGTGATAAATGATTCAAGTGAACACCGAAGATGCAAAGTATTCACAAACATAATGTATACCATGTTTTGTGTATTATGGTTACCACCAACAGTGTTAGTCGTATCGTTTCATCGAGCGCTGAACTATTATCAGCTACAAATGTTGTGTTTATAGTGAAATGCATTTATTTGATGTGAATCACTCACTCAAACGATCGATGTGTATATAAAAGACTTAACGTTGTCACCTATACTTATAATATGTATTTTTTTTTATTCGTCAATTAATTCGCTACATAAACAATCCTCCATAGCTGATAATCAGCCGTATCTTGATTTGATAAAAAGTCGTTAAGTTTTTAAGTGCATTAATGTTTTCATTTATCTTAATATAAATGCTGTTAATGAATTATTTAATGCATTTTTCCAGTAATCTTCTCAATTTAGATAGATTGAAAGTCACGAATGTGTTTTATCAACTTTTATTCAAATAATGTAACTTTCATTGAATTTCTATGTCGTTTCGTATGCTTTTCGAATTCACAGCCAGTAAAATTGAATTTTAAAATAATATAACTACATGTATCTTCTGTAAACGCCAAAAGATAGAATGAAGTACATTACACTTAACGATTAATATCGCTTGGGATGAAAAGCGCCGCATTCTGTCGACAAATCTACAAATTCCAAAGTTATCCGTTGATAACTATTTTATTAAAAGAGAAAAATTGAACAAAAATCTCAAAATTCGTTGACTGGCAACTACAAAGTAAAAATTAATTCATTCACAGAAATACATTGTTTAACACTTATTTTCTTCCTTTCTTCTTGTATATTGTGAGTATGAGCGTTTTTATGCGAAGAGAAATGACATGATCGATATGTTTTATAGAGAAATTGAGTAGAATTGTGTTTACACAATAGAGAATAAGTGTAGCATCATTCAATATAATGTATATAAAAAGGGACCACGTAAATGTCGTCTTATATTTGGTGTGATTCTCGACTTGCTTTATTGGGTGTGCGTCTACACTTGCGTCTTCTTACTAGAAACGAAATGATCGTGGAAGATGAAACTGTGAAAAAGGTTCGAATGACACCAAGCTCTACGTGGTCCTTTCATTTTCTAAATGCAGTGACTGTAAATTTGCTGCTTCATAGACATTTATTCTTGTCAATTTTTACATTATACCAAACAGTAATCACAATCTCTCACTCATGAGTACTCGCACAATTGTGAATTCGAATTTGTTTCACCAAATCGCTTCAGCACATTTAATGTAAAAACACCAGCTATCACCATTTTCTGCGTGTTTTACAATACGTTAGTAGTCTACAAACCAACTTCCTTTCAATTTCTGTTCAACTTTCGGTATACACAAGAATATTTGATTTCGAAATATCTAAAATAGGCACAACTCACACATCTACTCCCCCCAAAAAAAATACCAACCTAAAACCCGCTTTATATTTTGTTTGTTGTTGTTGTTCCGTAGGAAGCTACTTGTTACATTGTTACTTACATATAGTTTTCTCCCCCTACCCCCTTCTCGAAAACATTTTTCACTCCTTTGGCCCCAAGAGCAATTGAACAAATGCAATATTAATAACTACAGTTTTATGTTTAATATCAAATGAAAAAAAAAAAAACATTTTTTAAGACCTTATATCTATGAAATTTAGTGCATAACATCACAGATAAATAAAAATCAGTCTTTTATAAGTTATTAGTAAAAAAAATCCATCAAAAGATCAGAACACCAGAACTTATTTAATCGGAAGATAAATAAAAAAAAAACACACACACACACATCAAAATTTCTTTTTCAGTGTTTTGATTCTGATACACAAAAAAAATTAAAATCTGTTTAATAATTAAACGTTTGTTAATTTTGTTCAAACTCGAATTTCGACCAATTGTTTTTAAGGCGAGATAATCTACAGAGTGGAGTTACCAGACATGGAGCAGATAACACTAATCTACCTGGAGAATAACGATGCTGACTATTGTAAGTCATGCGCAAATGATGTGAACATGTTTCACTCACCACACTCACACAGCAAACATACAACAACAACAACATTTATTTATTTAAAAAAAAAAATGAAAAACATAATGAACAACAACAACAACAAAAAAAACTTCAAGAATATTGCATCTTGTTTTGACTTGTATAGATTTTTTCTTAATCTTTTTAGAATAAATAGTTGAGTTTGAGTTTTAATTTGAATTCGCGCACTTAGATTTCGAAAGCGAATGCGTGGCTCAGGATGAACAAACGTTCATCTTGAACAAATTTTTCATCCATTAAGTAACTAATTGAGATCAAACAGCACACAATACCAACGAACAATCAGTTATGCCATTTAAATTTGAGTCAGATTTCATATCTGATTTGGTTGTATTTGTGCCAAACATACATGTGTGGGTGTGAGTGCAAAATGCATAACAAATTTTTGAAAATGCATACTTTTTTTCATTAAAAACACACACTTCGTAGAATGTTTACTTCTAACTTAATTTCTGTAAGATTTCGTTGCTCAAACCAAAAACATTTTTGTGCTCGATTTATTCATAGATACGATTTTTTTTCGTTGTAGGAATTAGTCTCATTAGCACAAGACTTGTGGTTTTGAACATTTTCACACAGATTTTTTTTGCATTTGCAAGCATATTTTGCATCTTGTTTTGATTTTTTTTTCTCAATTTGCTAACTAATTTTTTTAATGTTTTTTCTTTCAATATATGTTTTTTGAAACTAAGCATCATCAATTTAAATTCTGAACTGCCAATATAATCATTTGATATACAAATTTTGCATTTTTTTTAATGAAAAACCTTCGTTTCACAAAAACGACCAAGTCTGACTATATGAAAAAGGAAAACCAAATTTTTTGAAAATTAAAAAAATAATGGTTGTGTTTTTTGACCCTCGGGACGATATTTTTAAATTTTGAATGCATTTCTATTCTATTTTTCAATTGCCGCATTGATTTCAATTTGATTCTCATAAAAATGTTTATCATCATGTTTTCACTAACAATGAATGCCTGCCTTATATCTATACTCTCTCCAATAATTCTCGAATAACAAATGTTTCAATATTTTTGTGGGGTTTGGGAAGAATATCCAATTGAAATTCTTTTTTTTTTTGCTTTCAACCCGATATTCATACCATTTTTTGATTATATTTCCAATTTCCGAATTTTGTTTTGTCTACACAGAATATGAGTGGGTAAAAGAGTTCCCCTTGAATCCGATTTCTCGGTGATATGCTGCAGAAAATAGTTGTGCAGTTAAAATGCATGTTTGTCATTCGAATATTGTTGTCTGTGGTCTGATAAATGTATTTGACTGATTTGTTTAGTAAAAATGTTAAATTCTGTATTTTTTTTATTATTCTTTGTTTTTTAAATCAATCATGTTCTAATGCTACCGTACTTGAGATCGAAGTAATGCTTATTACTTCAATCACAACTATGTTATTATTAAATTAGACTATTAGAGTTGGTTATACTTCTTATGTGTTTGATGTTGTCTGTTTAATTTTATTTGGGATGCGCTTTAAATAGCAAATATTTTGTGTCCATATACTGAATTCGAATAGTCCGTGGTCAACCATTTATTGTTTGTTCATTCTGTTTTCTAAGAATATTCATTTCTTACGAAAATTTAGCGTTATCGTACATTTTTCGGTACATGGCTCTCTTTCAGTTATCTGATTTCGTTATCGAAGTGACGCGTGGAAACGGTTAATCAAAGCATTCATGATGCAATTTTGAAATTGAATTCAAAGTTTTTACCCGCCGTCAGAATGGGGACAACCAAATCAGATCTCGGATAGATTTTGCCTTAAAAAAACAAATCTTTCAAAGTATTTAATAAGATTTACAGTTTTGTATAATAAAAATTCTAAAATTCTACGCATGCCATTGATAGTTAAATCTTCAGATTAATTTTAATTTACGCCAAAAAAAATTCAATTCTTCTGACGTTCGCGTCAAAACTATTTCAAAATGTGGTTGGTTCATGTTTTAAAATACATTTTATTTTTTATGTAAGTGTCTGCGATGCCACCGCAATAGAATCATACTTTGACTATTTCAATTCTGATCATGTTTCGTATATCCTCTTCTGGTCAGTCTGATATGTCAATTAAATTGCATGAAAAACGATATTTCTCTACATCAAGTGCAGTGACCTTTTTTTACAACACGGAGATTAGGTTTTAGCCGTTCACGTCCACTATAAATTCAATTAAATTGCATTTTTCCAATAGATTTTTAGTCGTGTTATTTGCTCATACGTTATAAAAAACGAAACTAAATAGAAAATTGATTAATGATGAATAATTACAATTTTGCAGCTTCGGATGAGAATGTTTTATCGTATGAAGCAGTTCAACGTCTTTCTATCAATTACTCGCGACCGGTTATTATATTAGGACCATTGAAAGATCGCATAAATGACGATTTGATTGCTGAGTATCCGGATCGTTTTGGATCATGTGTTCCTCGTAAGTTAAACGTATTTTAGATTTGAAATGAACAAAAAGGTTCATTTTTAACTCATTATTACAGACACGACACGACCAAAACGTGATTATGAGGTGGATGGTCGTGATTATCACTTTGTTGGATCCCGTGAACAAATGGAACGAGACATTCAAAACCATCTATTCATCGAAGCTGGTCAATATAATGATAACTTATATGGAACTTCGGTAGCTAGTGTCAAGGAAGTTGCAGAAAGTGTAAGTGAAAATAAAAGACAGCTTACGGTACAGCAAGCTAAAAAAAACTTTGCTCTTTATTATTATAGGGCAAGCATTGTATCTTAGATGTATCCGGCAACGCCATTAAACGTCTTCAAGTTGCTCAATTGTATCCAGTTGCAATATTTATTAAACCAAAATCTGTGGACTCCGTCATGTACGTGTAGTGATTGTTGCTGCCGAATGAAAACAAAGATTTTAAATTATTTTTTATGCATTTTTATCGAACAGGGAAATGAATCGTCGAATGACAGAGGAACAGGCAAAGAAAACGTATGAGCGGGCACTCAAGATGGAACAAGAGTTTGGTGAATACTTCACTGGTATGTATTTGAGATTCAAATTACATGTATATGCATCAAATTCACAATAATAATGGTTTTCATTTTATTTTTCCATGCATTGTTACAGCCGTAATTCAAGAAGATACGATCGAAGACATATATACCAAAGTGAAGAATGTTATTTGGTCACAGTCGGGACCAACAATTTGGGTTGGCTCAAAAGAGAATCTTTGACCATCAGCAACAACAACGTGGACATTGCCGCCACGTGTTCGAGCCCGACCTGTCTCGAGATCCGGTGTTATCCACTGAAAATGTAGCGAATTTTCGTGCTAAAACTGATCAAACTATTTAAACGAAATTTTGAACAAATCTTCTCTATATCCGCTCCAGATTTTAAAATTCAAAAGAGAGAGAGAAAAAAAACCATACAAACAATCAATTCAACAAAAATTGAACAAAATCTATAACAAATGAGAAAAGAAAAACCCAATTGAATGCCAATAGAATCGAGAAAATTCAAAACGAATTTTGGCATTTAGAGAGTGCAGCTAAACAAAAGAGAAAGCAAACACAGCTAAACAAACAGTTGATCGCGAAAATTCGGTTAATTTTATTGTACACGTAATTTTATTTCGAGATAAATTTTAATTCTTTTTTTTTGTGTATTTATTCAGTTATTTTGTTGAATATTCAATTTAATATAAATCAGAAAATTAATCAGTTTATTCTCTTGATATCATCGTTAATTGTAACCAAACCATGACTTTAGCATTGAAATGAAAAATATATTATAGAAATATATATATACAATGAAATATATCCCGAATAAAACAAAGAAAAAACCACGACGAACGCAGGTTCATATTAAATCAGTCAGATTGCAATTGTATTCAATTGATTCCCACGTAGTCGTTTCTTGGAATAAATTGATCTTTTAAATAATAAATAGTATTTACTCGTAAAATAAAATTCACAACACACACACACACATACAAACATACTATTTTGTCCCAAGCATTTCGTTTGAGGTCAATTCACTTTTCTTCTTATGCATGAAGAATCAATCTACAGTAGAGAATTATAATGATCCCCCGAACATTATTAGCCCTATAATCACAATGAAAATGAACTTCATCATCTTTTCAGCAAAAGTTAATGTTCATCTCGAAGAAGAATAAAAAAAAACAACTTAATAATTATATTTATATTTTGACATAAGTGTATAAATCTAGAGTCAAAGTAATCTGATATATTATAACAAGTTAAAGTGAATTCACAATTTATGGGAAGCAAAAAATATATATATCAAGTGCAGCTAATATTGAAATCACACAGTATTTAAATTGATTGAACAATTGAAAGAAGAACAAAAAAAATCACAAAAAAAATAACAAATAAAAAAATAGTCGAACAATTGTATAAAGCGTACACGATACCTTGTAAATTTATGTATGAACCCTTTATTGAAAATTCGAAAATGACATTACGCACCGTCTACTTATTAATAGGTTATAATTCGTCTTTGATCTAAATAAAAAGATATCCTAATCATTTATCCGAAACAATCGAAACAGTAATAAAATGTTGAATGTCTTAAAACATCAATGATAGTAAATTCCTCTGAACACCATCATGGATTGGGAGCCCATCTCAATTTTAAGCAACTGAAGAAGCGATACGCAAATAGATTTTATTTGCAAAAAGAAAATTGCTCTTTCTGATCAATTGAAGTTGGTAAAGACATATATGATACATCTAGATTCTAGAATGATATCACTTTTTTCTAGAAATATCCAATAGATGCGACGAATCTTATAACGAAAATAAAACTCAATCAATATCGTCACTTTGATGCTGAGTAGTCAATATAATGCGAACATTTAAATCTACAGCGACATCATTACATAATCGTTACTTGTGAACACTAGCGAACTGTAGCGAAATAAATTAGTGCGCGACCAATATAAATGTATTGCTTAATTTCCATGCGGATATATAATTGATAGATTTTCATCATGGTGCATTCGATTAAATGAACTGTTTCTTTGTGTCCCTTTGAATTACATTCACTTTAGTTAGGCTCCGAAAAAACACCAGTTTTATGCACTCATCAACAATCAACAGCACAATTTATCCATTTTGGATTCACATTATTTATTTTTATTGTGTGTTTAAGACTTACGTTTTTGGTTGGAATGTATCATTCACCGCGTTCATTCTTTTTCATTAGTCATTTGTCTATTATATTACCTTTTTACCAATCTGTTTGTATTCAGAAAGATTTTTTTTTCTCTCAAATTCTTGTTCTTCACCAGATCAATTTTCATGAGAACTGAATTTCGAACAAAAAAAAAAAACAACCAAACCTATGAACTATATCGAAGAAAAAAATAGTTAATTCGGTCCTTCCATATGTTTTAAGTGCGAAATATCGCTACTACTATGCCATTTATTCGTGTAACCGTTTTCTATACATACTTAGTCAAGACACAGTTTTTCTTTCTCATTCGGAAAACGGGAACTGAAAGGGCTATTGAAATTGTTAAAATAAAAATATCGCAAACTTTGTTTTCAATCGAAAATCGCTCAATGTGACACAAGTGCTTTGAACGCAATTCAATCAAAGTTCACATTGTTTGAATTTTCCGAATATATACTACAAATAATAATAATAATAATAATAAATAATATTTCAAGGAAGAAAATGAAATCTATGAACGGTTATGTTCGTAGCATTTGTTTGCGAAACACACAAATTTTTTTCTGCGCAAACATGAAACCAAACCAAAAACATTTAGATGAACGTTGTTGAATTGAAAACCCTTTTTTAGTAATTAACAGTTGAAATAAAAATCAAATCTCTTTACTTTGAAAATATATTCATTGCTAACTTGAAAACTTAAACAAAAAAAAACATATATTACTAAACTGAGACATTGTAGACTAGTTGTTGGTCATTACAAAAAAATTTATAAACATAAAAAAAGCAAATAAATATGGTATTATTATTGACGCCGAGTTATAAAGCGAATCGAAAGTTATAATATTTCAATAAAAAACCTTCTAAAACCCTGAAATATTTTGGACAGTTTTTTTCCCTTCTTTAAACCCGTATTTAGAACAGAACGTTCCAGGAGCTGCTGTGATAAGAAATCAAATTAGTTACCAAAAACTCTACCAAAAGAGTTGATTTAATAAAAAAAGTTGATTTTCAAATTGTTTTAATAAAACGGTGATTTATTATAAATTGAAATGAATATGAGCTCTGCTTAATTTAATTTATTAAAATTATCAATAGTTCTGTTTATTGTTTCGTGTTAAAACCAAAGAAAACGTTATGTTATTCATCCGACATATTTTGGTTCAAATAGACTCCAGTGTGGCCAGAAGGAGCGTGTTGAGCCATCTGAAGTATTTGCGGTTGATTTGGTAGAGATGCTGCTGATATTAAGATCGGTTGTGAATTCGGTTGATTTTGTACTTGCATACGTATCAAATTCTGCGGAATGCTTATCTGTGAATAGATAATGGATTGATATTAATACCTTTAAAAATAGCTCATTATTATTTTCGTTTATTTGTTCGTATGCTTACCGGCATATGTTGAATTTCTCCGTTCGGTGTAACGATCTGTTGAAGAAGTAATTGAGTGGGTTGTTGCGTTTGGTGGGCTGTTGCTTGTAATCCGCCTGTTGAAAAATCGTATGTTTTTTATGAAATTCACATATACATTAGTATGTAAGTGAGAGTCTTACCCAGGCTGTTAACAACGCCACCAACGGAAGAAATTTGTTGGCCGGTATTTGTGACTAGAATATTTTGTTGAGTACCATTCGCATTGATGGTGGTGATTGGACCCATTTGACCCGTCGATAATTGAAATGTGTTTTGCACGGTCGGTCCATTTAATGTGGCGGTGTTGTTTATCGGCGCCGTTGATGTCGTTGCTATGTTATTGGTATTCTGTAGGGCTTGTTGATGCTGTTGCGCTAACTGAAGATAATAGCTGACTTGATCCGAATTTGTTTTGGTTGTTGTTGTTGTTGTTTCTTTTCGTACTGGTTTTATTTCTTCGCGTGGAACGATATCAATTAAAAAATCAAATTGGTCAAATTTCGAAATGGCCATCGCTATGTCATTACGCTGTAAAGTGCGTCGTTTATTATTCTCCGTGTGGATCCACGCACGAAGTGTCAACTCATGAATAAAAATTTCGGCTGCTTTAGCAAATAATAAAGGTGCCTCGGCTGATATCATTTTTACATCTTCGTCTAATTTCATGATTTTCTTGATGCGGGCAAGGGGTAGCACTTGATTTTTTGCGTCAACAGTTTTGATACGCTTTATCTCGTCCGATATTGTGGGCCAAAATCCAGCCAACGTTATTTCGGCCTCTGTAAGTTGAACATTTTCATCCGAAGCTCCTTCGTTGTTCTCATTCGTTGTATCCTGAGTACTGAAATTATATCAAAACAAACACAAACACTTGCTGTATAAATAATGTCTGCACATTTGTCTATCTTTTATAGCTGATTTGAAAAGGTGTCGTTTTTTTTTCAAGGTAGGCGATAATTCCACAAAGGAGAATAACAAAATTTACGTATTTGGAATACAAACAAATTTATCTATTTTTGGAATAAATAAACACTGTTCATCAAACAGACATATGAGATAGAAACAGAACTGAAATCAATTTGTGCTTATCTTTTTTTCGGCGAAAATAGAATTTTTAGACAAAGTTTCTTATTTTCAAATCAGAATATTCTAAAGGTGTTTCTTGTTTTTTGTGCTTTTTTTACATAAAATGTCCACATTTCATATATAAAATTCGTCTAATAAATCAGCCGTGAATTAATAAATATCTCACCTATTCACGAAAATCATTGTTTTTGTTTAATTTCTATTTCTTTCAATTCCAAATGTAAGCTTCTTTGAAATAATACTTTTATTTTTCATTCACTTAATACATGAACATCTTATTCACTACAATCGTTTTTTTCTTCAAATTACTGTCTTGCTCTTTCATGCATATACGTCATATTTGTCACATTCAATTTAAAAAAAATTCGGATTTTTTCACAAAATTTTTGTATTATTGATGAAAAAACTTTAACAAATACAATGGAATGAGATCAAAACAAAAAAATTTGCACTAATTCATAGCACGTGTTTGCCAATAGTTGTTTGGGGTATCAAAAACCAATGAAAAACCGATGAGATTTTTAGAGACCAATCACGAAATACAAAGCACTCCATACAAATAGCAAGCAATCCAATAGAAAACGCTATTAGGCCGCCATTTATCATGATTGGTTCAGCATTTTGACATTTTGCCCATACAGTACCACATCATTGCATTCATCACTATGAATGCGCATGTATGCGTACATGTGTGTATACATTTTGTTCTACTATGATTGTTTATATTTGGAAATCATTCATATTCAATGTGTATGCGGCTGCTGATTGAGAATGGTCAATCCTTTAACACAATGGATAATTCATCAATTTTCAAAGTACGAATTTAATTCAAAGCATGTAACATTTTTAGCTTTAAATATATTTGTATGGGGAAACGTTAAAATAGTAGTACCAACCTGAAGGCATAAATTTCATTTGTCATTATACAATGCTGCCAATTTTCCAAATAAAAAAAATAATTCACCAAGAAATTTTTCTTCTTTATACATATATGTTTTGATTTTATTTATAAAGGGGTAAAATATCAAATCCGGAAAAAGCAATGAATTTAACTAAAATCAGTTTCAAAATCGTAGTCTTCCTTTTCATTTGACATATCAAGTGAAAAGTTTTCTAAAACATCAGCAACAGCGTTAACCTTTCGTTCGTTGCGTTTGTTTGTTTTCTTCGCCTTCTTTCTCATTTGCTTCATGTCTTTGTTGCAAGTTTGATTACCTGAAAAATATTCGAAATAAAATTAAAAATTGATTTGTTGTTAAAAATTGTCGTTTGCTAACCTTCCAATGACATTTCCGGATCAACTTTTGTTTCGGTTTCTTTGCGTCCACGTTTCGCTTTTGGAGCTTCATTGTCGGAGTCATCCCTATCGTTAACCGATTCATCTTCGATTATGTGAGCCATTGCATTTTTGTCCATTTGTACAGGACCTGCGCTAGCTATCTCCATCGCCTCTTCCACTTTCACTGTGAAATTGTTCAGCATATCTGTTTCCATTTGATCAAAGTTTTCAATATCAAATTCACGAGCTTCGGCACTAACGATCGAAGCACTGATATGTACATTTGTATCGGATTCGGGTGGCTGTGTACAGTACTTTATCTTTCCGATATTCCAATCGTTCAACAAACTTCTTGCCGCACCTTCTGCATCGGGAACACCGCCACGAAGGAATTTTCCCATTCGAGCGGCTTTCTTTGCGAAAAACTCTTCGGGTGTATCGTATTCGGATATATCATACAAACGACAGAAATAATTTTTACTCGCACGTTGCAAAATCGATTCGGCTACTTTAAATGGATCTTTTACATCACTGACACGCTGTGCATTCTTCAAAACATTTGAAGTTATCTGTTCACCGGCATTTCTTGCTTGTGTAAACACGATTCCGGGGCAATCAATTAATTTTATTTTTGAATCCAGTTCAACCTCCTGCATCACTCTGTAGAGAAACAAAACGATAAAACGATTTTGAATAGAAAACACAGACCTAATGGAGTTTTCCTATTTACCTTGTGACACCTGGTGTGCAACCAACATTGCATGCCCGACCTCGGGTCAACGAATTAATGATCGAACTTTTGCCAACATTTGGAATTCCAACAATGCCAACTCTGATTGATGTTTTGATACCTTTGTTTCGGCAGTAATTGGCTAACATTGACATCAACAGATCGGCTCCCACACAAGTTGAGCCCTGAAGTACTTTCTCGGTGGTAACACCTTTTCCAAATTTTCTTCGTCCCAAGCGATTGTTTTGATCTTGTGTTGATGCCTTGAATGCGGTGGCCGGTCCAGTTCGGCGCAAATATTTTAACCATTTATCTAAATTTTCACGTGGCACCAAATCGGCTTTATTTAGAATAACAACTAAACGCTTATTGCCCGGTGCTGATTTAACCGCTCTTTCGACCTCATTACAACGTGTGCCGAGCGGATCACGGGCATCAACAACCTCTAAAATAACATCGGCCATTTCGATAACCTTGCGAAACTCTTTGAAATATGCTCGCAATGAATTTTCTGTGTTTTTCTCCCCTTTATACACTTTGCCACCATCGCTTGTGTTTGTTTTGCCATCGGTCATTGCATCGTGAATGGCGTCACGCATTTCGGCACCTTCAACCATCTCTTCGAGAGTTTTTTCTCGTTTCTTTTGCTGTTGTTGAATACGTTCCAACTTCCATTCTTCACGTCGTTGTTGTTTTTCATCTTCTTGACGCTGTTTGTGTTCGGCCACTTCTTTTAATATATCCTCTTTGAACGGGCAAATATTTGGAATCTGTATCAATTTACTTTTAAGACTTTTTCCTTTTGGATTTTTACGTGCTTCTTTTCGTACCTTTCGCTTGTGTTCACGAACTTTTTTCAGAATTTTGTACTTTAGAGCACAAGTCTTTCGCTTTGACTGCTTAGCTAAAATAGTAATAGAGAAACACACATATGATAGATGATTCGAGTTGACTAATTGTGGTTATTTATTATGTTTCGTTTCTTAAAATACTTACTTTTTAAACGTTTCAAAGCCATTTTATCTGTTTAGTTTCTATGCGATAAATAAATTGAAATTCAATGTGCAAATGAAAGAAACTCGACTGACACACGTGCGTACACAATTATGTCTAATAAGGTTAGGTTTGCATGAGCAGAACTGTCAAATACCATTTGAATACAATGTGTTTACAACTAACCTCACATTTTCTGTCATCTGTCAACGTCGCAAACCATGGATATGAATGAAAATAATATAATGCTGTTTTCAAGAGATAAAAACAAATCAAAGAGTTTTTTTTTAGAAAAAGACGATTTGTTCTATGCATCATCCCAATGTCCTTCTGCCACTTTGTCTCCAAAAGAGATTCGCCGTAATTTTAGAGATTTCTTTGCCGAAAGATTTTCATATCAAAGCAATGACCTTTTGAGCCATTTTTTTGGCGATTTTCAGTCAATAAAGAAGAAATGATACACATTTTTGTTCAAGATTCGTTAATACGAAAGTATGAATTAAAGATTTTTATTTTTTGTTTCATTCGTAAATACACAGATTGTGTATGAATTTGACGTTATTTATGTTCCGCTTACTTTCCCTTGGTTTTGGCATTTTCGGCGTTTTCTGCAGCTTCCTTAGCTTTCTTGGCGCGGATTCCAACCAAACGAGCATCAACACGAGCCTAAAAGTGAAGAAAAAATTGATAATAAGTAAGTCATAGTATTTGAGTGCTTGATATAATGCAATGCGAGCATTTTGTTAAAAACTTACACGACGCAAAGTGTGGAAAGCGTTGAATTTGCGTTCTTGATCTGTGATTTTACGGAATTCAACTTGTGGAGATGGTTTGCTGAGTGGCATAACTGGTCCAGTGAATTGTGTAGCAGTTTTACGTTCTTCTTCGGTGGCTTCACCTTTGCGCAATTTGCGGTTAGCGTGCACTGGGAACAAGATCAACTTGCTACGGTATTCCTTCAAACGTTGGATGTTTTCTTGTTGTCCTTCAACGGACTTGTTGCGGCGTCTACGGTCGACAGCAATGCCAATGGTTTGAGCAAAGCCGGCGGTTAATCCGGCACCCTGAAAAATCGACACAATTTCATTGTTAACATTTTTGTTGTTGTTGTTGTCACATAACATTCTAATTTGATAATGGCACATCGTGGTACATCACATTTTTTGTTCACAAAACACTTTGTTTATCTGCTTCGTATTTCGAACTTACTTTCAATTCTTCGAGGGTGAAACCACGGCCGATACGTTGTTTTGTGTGGTAACGAACGGTTGGGCAGCGAACAACTGGACGAAGTGGGCCAGCAGCTGGTCGTGGGAAAACTTCCTTGGCTTTCTTGATACGGTTAACACGACGACGATGTTTGCGTGCTGGTTGGTTGAACCAGGTTCTCACGTGTCGTTGCCACCACTTGTGAAAGTGTTGGTTCGGAACCATATTATTTCCCTTACCCATTTTGAGTTATTTTTTTTTGCTACCTAAAATAAACACCAACAATGCAATAGTATAGAAAAGAGTTGGTCAGTGGTACTTTTTTTTAGAAATGACAAAAAATCAGCGAAAAATTAAAAAATATTATTAAATTCACTATTCAATCGAAAGATAATTGGATAATGCACAATTTTGTGTGGAAATTATTGTGTTAAATACTAGGATGATTGGAATATTTTTTGATTTTTTCGCACTGAAATTCGGATCGCACTTACTTTGCACGCCAACAAAAATGTAAAGACCTGTCAAACGGTTCGACGGAATCAATGTTCATTTAAGTGGGGTTGCCACTGTCGCATTTGACGAAAGTCATGCTACGATGACAGTCTGTTGTTTCGAATGCGTTAAACTCATTTAAACTACTTCGATTTTTTAAGTTTAGCATTTTTCAAGCGATTTTTCAATTTTTGTGATATAAATAAAATAGATCTATTTACCTCTGCAGAATTTCAAGATCTCTTTTAATCTTTCATTTATTTAAATTATTCATTGAATTTGTTTTTCAAATCAAATTTACGTATTGCGTTAGCGACGATGGTAATACCATATTTCGTGTGCGTTAGATTGCTAATGTGTTGAAGAAAAAAACTATATATATTAGACCGGTTGTCAAAGTCAAGTGTTCTCTGTGCCACACTTTAACACAATTTAAATCGATTCAATCTTGTTGATTACATTGTCAATCATTTATTAAAAATTTTATTATTTACAATATCGATAAAATTCATTACCAATGAGTGACTCAAAAGATGGAAATGTATCCAAAAACAACGATACCACCGCACCAAAGTCCAACACCCAATCGAAAAAGAAAGAACGCCGACAAAAAGTGAAGAATCATGAATTGAACGCAGAACAAACCTCAATCGAGGATATCGAAAAGGCAACCGAACAAATTCTCGAAGCTGGTGGTTCAGCAAGTGCAGCCACCGACCTAATTGACGATGCAAAATTAAAAAGCCTATTGGATGAAGCATACAAATATAAATCGAATCCAAGTATGTTGCCATCATTATTGCGTGATGCAGCAAAAACGCCTCAAGAGGCAATGCATAAATCGTTTAAATTCTGGTCAACGCAACCGGTACCCAAATTCGACGAGGTGGTTGAACGAAATGAACCCATCGAAGCGAATAAAGAAGTTTCGGACATTCGTGCCGATCCATATGCATTGCCCGATGGCTTCAAATGGGAAACAATGAAACTTGACGATCCATTGGTGTTGGCCGAACTTTATACGTTGTTGAATGAAAACTATGTGGAAGATGATGATGCAATGTTTCGCTTTGACTATCAACCGGAATTCTTGAAATGGGCACTTCAACCGCCAGGCTGGCGACCAGGTAAGATACAAAACAAATCGATATTTTGTTCGTGGATATTGATTTATCGATTTTTTTTTCAGATTGGCATGTTGGTGTTCGTGTCGTTAAATCCGGTTTGCTTGTTGGTTTTATCTCCGCAATTCCCGGTCATATTCGTATCTATGATAAAATGGAGAAAATTGTCGAAATCAATTTCTTATGTGTTCATAAAAAACTTCGATCGAAACGTGTTGCGCCGGTATTGATTCGTGAAATTACTCGACGCGTCAATTTAACTGGAATTTTTCAGGCTGTTTACACTGCCGGCGTTGTTTTACCCAAACCAATCGCCACTTGTCGCTATTGGCATCGATCGCTGAACCCAAAGAAATTGATTCAGGTAAATTGGTTAAAATACATCAAATATTCTCGTGTGTTTTTCTCTTCTAATTTCGCTTTTCGACTTTTTTTTCAGATAAAATTTTCAAGTTTATCGCGTAACATGACAATGCAACGTACGATCAAATTGTACAAATTATCGGACGCTCCAGTAACACCTGGTTTTCGTCAAATGACGAAAAAAGACGTACCACAAGCATTTAAATTGCTTGAAAACTATTTGAAAGGTTTCAAATTGACGCCAATCTTTTCAGAAGATGAATTTAAGCATTGGTTTTTACCAAAAAGTGGCATTATTTCGGCATATGTGGTTGCCGATCCGAAGACCGGTACAATCACCGATTTGGTTAGCTATTATGCATTGCCATCGACTGTGATGCATCATCCGACGCATAAAATCATTCGGGCCGCATACTCATTCTACAATGTATCGACGAAAACACCATGGTGCGATCTGATGAATGATGCATTGATCGCCGCAAAGGCAGACGATTTTGATGTGTTCAATGCACTGGATGTTATGGACAATACGAAATTTTTGCGCGAACTCAAATTTGGTATTGGTGATGGAAATTTACAATATTATTTGTTCAATTGGCGGTGTCCAAATATGAAACCGGAAGAAATGGGTCTAATTTTACTTTAAATGAATTATAAAACAATTGTATGTGGCTTTATTTATAAGGGTGTAACATAAAGTAAGCCGAAATATACACTTCTCTTTTCTCACACACAAACAAAGAAAACAAAGCCACTCGTTTTCCTTTTTATTCATTCATTTAGTGTTTTTTTAACAGCAATATTGTCTCCGTGTCAATTTAAAATTTATATCCTTAACATACATAAACTTGTTACTTAAGTAAATATGTTCATTGAATTCATTTTTATCGCATTCGAACGAATTGGATTGCATATTAACTTACTAATTAGTTCACGAGACGACAGATATAAGACTTTAATCTCTTGATATAGGAGGCAACGACGTATAATCACCAAGCAAAAACTTGATAATCACGTTTCAGCGATATAGCACGCGTTTGTAAAAGAAAATGAGACATTACAGCTGAAAAAAAACTATGTACTTACAGCATAGCAAGTATCCGCTCACACACACATACACATCATTTTAACAATTTTCTTTGTTGCAAGTAATAACATTCGGTGTGCACAAAGAATAGAATTAAAAATGTATTAAATATAAAGTAAAACTCAAAGTCTACAATATAATACATATTATTCAAGGAGAAATAGCATACAACTTTGTAGTCAAATAAGAGCCTTTGGAAAAAAGAGCGCCAAGTTTTTTTTTGTTGATAAGGGTTCAAGGTTGAAATCGGTTTCATTTTATTTCGTTTTTATTCGCTCTTTTTAAACTGAGCATTTTCCATGGGATTTGCGGTCGTTTATATACTAACGATTTCTTTTCATATCTCCAAAAGTTAATAAAAATCCATCAAAAATATATGGAGATATGTGCAACACACTATGTTTACGCCTTAATCGTTAACATAAATTCTATGACGAAAAAAAATGTCATGTTTATTCGGTCAAGAAAACATAAACATTTTTATTTCCCATAGTTAATCCATATTTTTCTCATTTTATGGCGAAAATCCTCTTGTGATTGACTGTTATTGAAACGTTGACTTTGTTATTCAACGCAAATGTTGAAAACCGAAAGAAATGTCGAATTTGCATGTTAATGTCGTGCACCTGAAGAGTTTATCGTCGTTTAAATATTCGATTACACTGCTTTGCATTGAGGTAACAAAGTACAAAAAAAAAGACATGCCAAAGTTACGCACACACAGAGTAATAAGCGAAGATATTCTATTATGTTTTTACCATGTTCGAAAGCTTCATGACGACAACCAGCTAACTGAAAAATGTGTATATTTAATCAAAATGTGTCTCTGCCTAGGGGGTAGACACAATAGAGAATGAATGAATACCAATGAATTGTCATAATACCTATCTATTTTCAAATACGACAGTTACTTACTTATTTGAAGATTACTTGTACTAAAAATGTGAATACCGTGATTACCAAATGTCAAATTGATATCGGTAATAAAGATTTCAAGTTTTTTCCATTTCGTTTTAACATTCACCATTTCGAAATTTATTTTAATTTTTTCTGTTTTCTTTCTGTCATTTTTATCAAAATTGTTTTTGCATTTATTAAACCAATTGAAATAATACACTTCATAGCGTTGAAAAAGTTTTTTTAATATTTGGAAGATAATATTCATATATGCACATTGTGAGACGTTGCTGAATGCATTGACATTTCGTCTAAAACTGAGAATACCAAGAATACCAAGAATACCAAGAATACCTTCAATTTCGGTGAATATCTCAAGTAATATTCCATGTGTCCACCCCCTAGGTCTCTGCGCAGTATCCGAAGAGCGATTTTTTTCTCGCATACACCGCTGTCTTGTGTCTCCCTTTTTCCACCGATTATTTTTCTCGATTCGATGTCGTTTGTCTCGCTTTCTTTTTGCATTTTCCCATCTGTGAGCATATCAAAAACGTGAATTCAACACATTCGCATATAATTCACATACAACACGAGTGTGATCTATGTGTATATAACGGGGGAGAGAGATGAAAGCGTCCACTTTTAAGCACTCGCGTAGCAAATTATTTGTATGTTCATATATAACGCGACAGCCCAGAATATTGTAGAGGCTACAGGCATATGTATATCTTCGTCTGTTTTTCAGACAGGTAGCAAAGTGTATTCTGCTGGATCAAGAGCACAATCCGCTGAAAAAAGAAAATATTTTATCTATATATATATGTAAAGAAAACAATACGAGCGCAACATTTTATTTTTTTCGTATTTAATGTATCGCATAGTCACATCCAGATGCTTTCAGTTCACCTTGAATTCGTGTTTATTCATTTCGTTCTGTACCAGATCTCACTGTGTGTTCATCGATGATTGCTAGATTAAACACAATTATATTCGCTGAAATCCAATGTTGAACAAAAAATCCGACAAAAGTGAAGAGTTCAATTATTCGTGCAATAGAAATTGTGCTTGAATTTTTATGAGACATTCCAAATTATTCATTTGTAAGTGCAGATATGTAGCAGTGTAACATACCTTTATATATATACATATATTTTAACAAGTGTACATTTTGAAGAGTGATTTTGAATGAACATCCTTTTATGCTTGACGCTTTGATCGGATGGCGATTTTTTCGGTTTAAATTAATACATTTTAATTCATTAAAAGTATGCAAAATGAATCAGATTTCTTTTATAAAGGGTGAAACTTTTCAAATAGCGCCGAATTATTTTGTTTTCTATAAAAAAAATGGTAAAGAAACTATAACAACTGTTCTGCGTCTATTTCAGTTCACTTTTAACGATTGAAATCATTAGTGAATGAATACATGAATAAGATGTAAGCGCAACAGAAAAAAAAACAACGTCACGACAAGAGTATCAAGATATAAAAGTAATTGGAAGAGATGTTAAAGTATGTTTGAAGAAAAAAAATCGATGGGATAAAAACAAAGGACAATAGGAAAAAAGATGAAAAGCTCACGACATCTTGTACAGTTTTTCATCGTATAACATTAATTTATCATTAGAGAGATCTGCCTCAAGTGTGTTATGGTTACTACTTATGGCATAAGTGTTCTTGCACAATAACAACTTAATTAACTTCTAACAACATATTGAGTATGCTAGAGGTAGCATTTGAGTAAAATTAAACAACTTTGAGATGAAACAGAAAGATGATAATAAGTGCAAATGGGTTAAAGTTCTCCAGATTGTTTGCAACTTCAAATGACACTAACGTGCATACGGATATACCGAACTAACAATGGAATTTCTCTAAGACAATGAATAAAATATCAGTTGTATTTTCATAAACTACAACGGCTACAAATGACTGATTACATTAGACTAACTGTATCAAAAACATAAACATTTTACGACATTTTCAGGTCTACATTAGCTGTGTATGTGTGTGTGCGTTTGGCCAAATTGCTCATTAAGCAAACAGGATTAAAACCCTGAAATTTCAATTAGAATGTGCTTTGGCGTTTTGTTACTATTTAAAATTGACTGTAGTTATCATTTTGTCGGATAAATAATTAATAAACATTTCCATGCAATTTTCAACGTTTTACATATACGTCGTCATTCGTTCGATGTGAGTAGTGTATTTTTAAAACCACAGCAAAAAAGTCAATATTGCTGAAAATAAATTATCGATTAATTTGAATTTGTTTGTAGAATGTTTATACGAATATAATCATAGATCCATCATTTGCAAAGTTATCGCTACGCCTGTCCCATCTTCTTCACTGGCATACGACTATGCATAGCGCTCTCTTTTCTCCACAGAAGAATGTGGAATATATTTTCGCTTACAATGCACACTCACTCTCTCTCACAAACACACACACACACGGATACTGACTGATTATTATCGTTTGAGTTAAAAATAAAATCCATAGCACTTTATTGCATATATGGAGAAATGGAAAGATGACAAATTCCAAAATTTATTGCACAGAATATTTGGTACAACAGGGATGTATGTATGTTTCGTAAACTTTGTAAACTTTCCATGTTTACAAGCTTAAAGATATTACGCTCAATTCATTGGAGTATTTCACACATAATGTATGACACAATATTAATTGACGCTGTTTTATTAGCAACTTTTTCTTCTTCTCAAAGTTAAACTATAATTTCATAAGTTTCCATTTTAGGGATCCAAATTATATTTGCAAAAATGACATTAAAAATTAATACATGCATTCTTTTGTATATATTTATCTAAGATTTTACGTGTGTATTTTATTTTTCAGCTGATAAACTAGGGTAATAATATTATCAGGGTAACAGTCAAGTTCATTGTGTTTAGAAGTACCAGAGAAGTGCGATAAAAATGCGTCGTGCATCATTTACCCCTGCGTTCAAAATAAGCGTTGATGAGCCATTGATTGTGGTTGATGAATCGGAAGAATTGGAAAATGAAGGTAATGAACCAACATCGCCCAAGTCGATTGAAGAAGATGTTGACGATGACAAAGATTCACCAGACAATCCGTACCTATTATCACCCTTTCGAGATCCACGTGACACGCGAAAACACTCGTTACCAAATATCCAATGTACAAGCGGTATAATGGCGAGTCAAGTACGTCGGCTTTCAGATGGTGGTGAAAATGCACCCACCGCAAGTGAAATGGCATTCCTTGCAAAATTATCTCAGGTATAATTCAATAAATTTATGATAGACTATTTTATAGTACAACGTCTCTGATAATGGAATGTTGTTGTATTTATCAAATGCAGGCATCTACTTCGTCTGGTCGACGACATTCGGTTGTGACAATATCTCGTGTTCCGCAAACACTTTTCGGTCGAAACAGGCGTGAATCATTCGCTGCCATCGCTTCGTCAGGTGAAAAGTAAGTTGAAAAACTCATTAAAAAGTCTCTCAATAGCAAACAAAAACCAATTCACATTCTTTGTTTTTTTCACAAGTGATGCACTCAATGCAAGATTGGCCAAACACAGAGGCAGCGTTCATAATCTTCAACTAGATATAATGGATGGAATTGTTCAGGTCGGAAAGATTTGAGACGAATCACATAATAGCAAACACAACCAACCAAATGATGAATGAAAATAATTTAACGCATTTCGAAAGAATAGCATAAAATGCAATAATGGAAACTGAATTCGTTAAAATGCCAACAAATCTAATTAAAAACATGAAGAGTTTTGAAAGTTTTACGGAAATTAAAAACACATACACATATATATGTACAATCCAGGTTGCCGGGAGTGCAAGTATGGTTCAATTTGTTTTTTTTTCACATCCTAATCATATAGTATTTGTTAGAATTGCAGTGTCAGTGTCAGTGTCAGTGTGAAGGTTTTTATCTTAGTGCATTCAACCGGATAGCATTATGTACGTAAATAAACAAACGAAGTAATAACAATCCACATCCTTACCTCTTTAAAACGATTCAACTGCTCCATTATTTATGACTTAAATGCATGCATCCTTTCATATTTTCCTGGGGAAATGTTTTACTATGCACCTTTATGATTGAAGAAAGAGAAATGACAGAGAGAACGAAACAAATCTGTACACATGCTGAACAAAACTTCTTCACTATTAACCTTTGAAATATTGATGTGATGTGATGTGATGTGGTAAAAGAGTAGATTTTTTTTGGTGTTTGACTTAGTCACATCATAAAATAATATTTGTTTAGGAAAAAAAGACACGTACTAGTAAGTGGAGTACGAACAAAAAATAACATATATTTACAATTTCTTCTTAACAATCATTTTACAATCAATTTTAAAAGCAAATTCAGAAAAAAATGAACAAAAAAAAATTGAATGTGTCTTAGCGTAAGATAATGAATACTGATAGAGAGAGATGAAAAAAATCGTAGATAAACTAAACATTAAGATGCAGATTGAGAACAATAATATTTGCTGTAATTGTGCCCTACAAAATAATTTTTGCCTTCGTCCAATCAATCAGTGCCCCAAAAACCAAACACATACACAAAACTACAAAAGCAATTCAACTGGTCTTGTGTCGCAATAGACGTGGTTATATATATATAGATATTCATTTTCATACACACAATTCAAAATTCAATCAACAAGTGCGAGAGGAAAACTTAGTAACAATGTGACGCTCGACTACTTGGTTAACTTTTGAATGTTTTAGTTTACAATGAATTTATTTTGAAATGAATAAAAATGAAAACAAACAAACTAATAAAAGAAAATAAACAAAAACACAGAGCTTGAATGGAGAACACACGGATAGAGAGGGAGAGAGAGAGAAAAGAGAAAATTCGAATAAAGCACAACTCGAGCGGGCCTTGAGTTGTGCTTTGACGACCGATTTGTGAGCGGTTCAAAAGTGGAAAGAAAACTATGAAAAAGTTCTAGTCTAGCAAAGGTGAAAACGTGTGCTATCAATATAGATTAGTGGCATGCCACTAGATTCTTAGAACTATTTTAAATGAAACTGAAACTTTATAGCAATTAAGGTTTAAAATGCGTTAACAAATGAACACTTGAGAGAGAGGAGAAAGCGTACCAAACCAAAATCACAGTGATTAATACAAATTAAGTGAGTTACTTCAGTAAGTTTGCAATAAATTTGACTACGTGTCACAAATACAACAACATTACAATGGCAATCATAAACAAATTATTCATCAAACGATATTCTGATATTTTGAGGTATAATCATTCGTTGAATTGACATATTTGATTGCATCAATATCACCCACAATGGATATTATTATTATTTATTTTGTTGACAAAAAGAAACATACACAATAGTCGCGACGGTAAAAATATATTTATTTATTTAACTCACTTGCCTCCATTGCCTCCTTTTTTCACGCGACAAATCTTTATTGTCATGATTCAGAGATTGTTAAAGTATGTGGTATCAATCAAACGATTGCGCCATTTTCCGTTTTTAAATTCCATAATTTAGTACATTTACGTTTCGTTTTACAACATCACGGAAACTACAAACAAAGAGAGAATTTTCGGTTCGCATAAATATGCTCATAAGAATGGATAGATGGATGGATGTGAACATTTTATAAAATATGCAGCATATCAATGTACGTGTTGAAAATACAATACAGTCAAGATGTTTACGATGAAAAAAACAAGCATATGTTGACATTATTTTGTATGCACACTCACACCTTAATTATTTAACATTTTAACTGTATTATTTTGTCAACGCGTCGAGGAAGATTAATCGTTACATATTTTATCATTCTTCTGTTCTATAAAGATATATATAAAATGGTGTTAAAATGCAACGTATTTATTTTTATTGTCAAAATTTCACCTTGAAACGGATTCCCATTAAAATTTCAACCGAATTTCGTTTTGTAATTTTTACATTTCACAGAAGCGACAATGATTTGACGTTTTAAGCGATTTTACATTTAAAAGATAGATTTGCACATCCGCGACTATAATCTCTTTTCAATGTAAATTGCGCCAGACTATACATTTTGAATAAAAAATTCATCGCACAGTTTGTAACGGCCAATATATTGGCAAGTGCTCAGAAAATGTGAATAACGTAATCCAGTTTACAGTCGAACTGCCAAATATCTAAATTTAAATAGAAAAGTTTAATTTTGTAATGCTTCTGATAGAGGACGTGACAAAGTATGACAAGAACATGATAAAGAAGAAAATATCACCATTAGTTTCGAATTAACTGATTACTTAAACATAGACGCTTGCCAATGTTGATTTTGGCAAAAACAAAAAATACGTTGCATTATGCGATACCGAGAAACTGGCTACAAAAAAATGAAATCGCTTTCAATATGATTAAACTTTTTTCGGATCGAATAAAAAAAGGCAATTAGTTAAAAAATGTTTAGTTCATTTTTTTATTCGATTTTCGTTTTTTTCTCTGAATAAAAGTTTGCGTTTAATGAAATGTAATGGGAAAGAAACATACCTCATGTATTTTTTTTTCTGTAATTCTGTGTTGTAGTCTAAAAAAAGCTCATGATTTTACATTTAAATTGAAAATGGATAATCAGATTAGAATTCAGCTCACGTCAGAGTTTATTCAGGTTTTGGTGAAAAATCATGTGAACAAAAAAATAAATATAAGAAAATGTCTTATAAATTACTAATTTAAATCCATATTAGTGTTGTGATTTTGAAATATTTTACAATTTATCGTTAGTATAAAAGAGAATTTAAATGAACAACTGTTATTAATATATATATTTACTCATAGAACATTTAAATAAAAAAAAAACAGAGACATTCAATGTCTCAAAGCATGGAATTGAATTAAAGTATCTAAACACATAAAAATAATAAAGGGACAAAAGCCATATTTATATGATCACAAATGTGAGAGTGGCATATGCTCAGAGCCAAAGATGAAATATATATTATACAATATTTAACTCACTTAACAAATACAACTAATAGTTCTATTCATTTTTGAAAGTAAAAATTTCGGTTCATTTGTTATTACAAATCAATAAACACAACAATGATAACTAACCGATTCAACAGATTAATTATATTATCATCGATTATTACTATCACTTAGTGGCCCCCTATGGAACAAAAAGAAAAAAAAACTGTAAACGAATTAATCATTGGAAGAACCTATTATCTCATTGATCGGGTGTTTTTTTTCGTCAATTTTCTTTATATATATTCAAATATATTTCGATCATGTGAATAATTATAAAAACAATCAATACATAATGTAAATATAATGATTTAATTATTTTCGATGTAATAACTGTGTGTTTGTTGTGCTATTTCTAACAAACATTTATTTTCGCAGCGAAACATTCCATTTTTGGTTTTGGTCACCAAAAGAAGATAGAAGGTAAGGTTTGGTGTGTGTCTTGCTTTAATTTTTTTTGTTTCTCTCTTCTTTCAACATGTGTTTTGCCATATTGTTAACACGTACGTGAACAATTACTGCAGCAAATTTCAAATATTTAGAACACCACAGAACAGAATAGGAACGACAATATCTGTTCAATTCGTGCACATACTGTGTGGCAAGTGTGGGACTTAGAGTTAAAATATTCCCAAAGTGAGTGAGAGAAAAGCATAAACAGAAGGCACACACTGATATAACAAGTTATGCAGCATTCGAAGCAGATAAACACAAATTTATATGGGAATGCATAACAACCCTGCGCAGTTTTGTTGGCCATATTCTCGCCAATACAGTATTTTTCTATATTTTCTGGATGCTTGCAGTGGTGCTTGAATGTTGCGACACACGACAAGAGTGGATAGCGTGCTCCATACCATACAATATGGTTCAATGAATAAAATAATGTTATTGCATTTTCAGTTAGTTGCTGACAAGCCTAGTGTGTAGACGGTGTCTGCACGGTGTGTGAGAGTGTGTGTGTGTATCGTCGAAACGAAAAAAAAAGAGTTAGTGTTAGCGCAAAGTCGCATTCACTTCACAGTGTGCCCTCAGAACAACAGAATATAAAAAAAATCATGTTATTCACTCAATTGTAATAGAACTGAATAGATACTAAGGGTTACATAATGTGTTGTTGTTATTATAACTATTATTACTATTATTATTTTTTGCATAAAACTTAAGCGTAACGCAAGCGATGGTAAGTCTTAGTCAAATATAATGCTTCTTTTGTCTTTCAATAATATCAACCGCAAAAGTGAACAAGAGAGAAAATAAAAAACACTAGATTGTTGGTCTTCGGCACGAAATCACTTATAATTATTGTTTGTTGCAAATGTTAAATTGAAAATGTTATATTTGTTTTACTTGTTAAATTTCTTCTTGATTTTTTTTCATCGAGTTAAATCCGAGACGCTCGTCTCGTTTCATAAATTCATACATTAAATTTGATTTTTATTCGAAAAATATATATTATTTAGTCGCATTTGTATTCGTATTCCATTCTTTATATCCATATTAGAAAAGCTTTGGTGTATATTCACATTTTCCATCTGCCTTTTTTTTTTGTGATGAAATCTGCTATGCAGTATTTTCTCTCGCGCGCCTCGGCACCATTTCGGTACCGTTTTTTTTCTCTTCCTTTCTATTTGTTCGTTTGTCCATTCGTGTTTCATTTTTGTGTGTTTTTCGTTTTTTTCTTCATTTCATTTTATTTGATAATATTTAGTGTAATAAAAATTACATCCTTGGATGCGAAAATCACAGTTGAAAGTTTGAAAAGATTATAAAAATATCATTTTATTTTTGTTTTCATCTTTCTGTCGTAAATTTAAAATGCTTCTTCCCTTTTCAAGCTTCAGTCTTTTTTACAGTATATATTATAATATATAGTACACAGTCGAAGTATAAGGTCTTTGGTTAAATATACCGCATTAGTCTGCCTCTCTTTCTCTTTCTTTGTTACTTCCTCTTTGCTATTAATTTTTGATAAAATATAAATAGTATTTTATTGAATAACATGAAACGAATATTCTCCGTAACGCTTCTTCTAAATACACTTTATTTGTAACACTTCATAATACTGATACATCCATATATAATAAAAAAACATATAAAAAAAGCTCTCTTAGCCTATATAGACAGTTGGTTCTTTTTTAATTTGATATGTACCAGAATGCTTCTTCTCAATCAGACAACATATTTTTAACTATGCATTACCCAAAATATAAACGTATTGATGGTATTTAACTGCAATGCTAATTAACATTATAGCTTTTCTTCGTAAAACCAATCACTTAACACTGTTACTATACCACCATATAATCATTTTAACATTAACACAATACACAACTCTCACAATCCTTACAATCACACACACACATACCTACCTATACACAAATTTTCTATTTTCATTAAAACTTTTAAACAATTAGACTGTAGTTTCGAATTATTTCAAGCATACACGTACCATTACAGCAACCATACCGTTGAGTGGTGGTGATGTTTTTGTTTATTGTTTTATATTTTGCTTTCTCTCTCTCTCTCTATCTTTCTATCTATCTCTATTTTATTTAAGCTAAAATTGCAAATTGAATTGATGTGATTTTCACTTCACTCGTTTCAGTTAATTTCATCTTTATCTTCAATACTTTTTGTGTTTCACTTTCCCCTGCATTGTAATACTCAATCAGTTTTATACATTAAGCTTAATTCTCTTTCTCTTTCTCACGCTCTCTCTCACTCTATTTCTCTTTCTATTTGTCCATTTTAATTAATTAATCAACTTAATGATCTCGCTAAATTCATTTGGTTCATTCGCAGCGAGCAATATTTGTCATAAAAAAACAAGCCGTTGTTGAAAGCATCATTCCGCAACCGCACAATTTAATGTGGATGCGCAGCTTTTAGATTGCGACACGAATTCGCTTTAAATAATTAATCACCTTCATTAGTTCGATCTTATTGCAAATCGGATTGTTTTCAGCAGCCTAACTGCTCGTTGACACCACACATTTTTCAAAAACACTTCATACGCGATAATACCTTTGAGTCGCGCGGTCACAAAATTATTTGCTATCGTAAATCGAAACATAATTTTGTTCGAATAAAGAAACACATTGTTGCATACTTACCGCACCGATTATAAAGTGATATATTCGAACGAAAAGAAAATCCCCAAGAAATAATTTCCATATCAAATTGTGTGAAAGTGAATGTTTAATAGCCATTACTTTTTTTTATCATTTCACCTGTAATAAAACATTCCGTTTCAGTTGAAACTTACAACACGTAAGTTCTGAACATATTTTACATAAATCAAAAGCTTCACCAAACTGTGATTACCACATTATGTCTCGCTTCCTTTTTTTCCGAATTGGGGTAATATGAAAGTGATTTTGCTTAAGAAATACCCGCATAATTGGTGTCTTGAACTTATTCTAATTTATTGCTTAGCCCACCGGACAACTTCGAGTTCAACGACGGGGGCGCTCTTCTGCTAAATGAATTTCAGATCAAAAGTAGAAACACTTCCGAAAGTTTCTAGTAGACACTAATTCTAAAACGTTTCCTTTCATTTTTCAACATAGATTTGTTTCCAATTTTCTATCAAATTTCTTGTTCTAAGAGGCCATCGATACGATAACAGAGGTCACAATCTAATATCTGTGTTTTTGACTGCTTCAACAAATACAATTGCATCTTATCTTTCGTATAAATAAACCCATTTTTCGTTGCATTCATACATACTTTTATAAAAATTTGTTCCATCAATTAAACAAATAAAATAATTTAAAAAAGTATCCGTATCTCTTGTTGAATTGTTGTCAATCATTATTCTGCAAATTGGATGCATTCTAAAACCGTACACACATCTTAGTAAAAATTGTAAGCATGCCGCAGCATAATAGTAGAAAAATCAATCAATCGTGTATCGAAAGGCCAAATCGACATTCACAACAATGGTTTTTATCTATGAAAAACTATCACCAATTTTTCACTTTGATCTAAATGCTCAAGGAAATGATGCCCTACAATATCATTTATTTGTTCTTTTTTATTCTTCTTTTTTTTCCATTTTGTTTTCTTTTTTTTAATCAAGAATACGAAATACATCTACTACTCCAACAACATTGTTTCAAGTACACACGCTCGTTCATAATACTTTCTACATACACCAACATAAAATAAAAAAAAAAGACAATATATAGTTACAATCCAACAACTACAACACACGAACTTCGTTCTCGGCTACACATACAAAAAAAATGCCAAAGATGTCTAAATACCACATATACAACTTTTTTCCAACACTTCCAATACTCGGATTTGGAATATTACTAACTTTTCTTGCAGGTAAATTTACACACCCGAGATAACAAAATGCAAAAAACCGAATAGAAAAGACCGTTCTCACAATATTATTTTTTCTCTTTCCATTTTACAATCTTATTTTAGAGCTAACTTTGTTTTTTTTTTATTGAAGACCTTCATTCTCCATTTTGTTCAAATAAAATGTTGATCCATTCGTTCAGCATAATTTAAGCATTCGTTTTTATGTTTTTTTTTTAAACAAAACCAGCATTTTCGGCTATCATCGTAATAATACAGTTCCATTTTGAATTGCAGTAAAAGAAAATAAATAACCATTTTTATTCAATTGAATAACACACAAAATCCGAAGAAAAAAAATACTGAATCAAATATCCAAGCATAGTTACGAGTTCGGGGGAGCTATATTATTTATCATAAAAGCAGACGCGTAAATGTTTTAAAACCAATGATACTGAACATTTTTTTTTCATCTTCAAATTTCCGGAAAACGGAAACGATTTTTTATGAAGTCGCACAGAGGTTCTTTAATGAATTTGAAGGGAAAAAGAAAATAACCGAATATTCAATCAGGAAGGGAAAAAAAGCATCAAGCAAATTCAATGCGGTACCATTCTCGATATTCACTTTGTGTATAAATGTTTGAAATCATTTAATTTGGAAGAAAGAAAGAAAAAAAAGAACGCTTCAAAAGGAAAATAAAAGATGATTGCATTTCATCTATCTGTTTGCGATTGCATGAATGTGTGCGAATGGGACTATATGTGATGCTGTGCAAACAAATATGCTGCAGATTTTCTGTTCTTTATTTTAATGAAATTTTAACATCTCGTTGTGTTTGAGTGTGCTAGTGGTGTGTGTGTGTGTGTGCGCCTCAGTGAATCAGTGAATGTATGTCCGATCATAGAATATTCATAGGTGTTTTCATTTGCACAAGCCAAAGCACTTCCACTCACATAGACGTCTGATGTGAAATATTTAAACGTAAACGTTTGCTATAAATCTTGTCTGCATATACTTGCAGGATGTGAATCTGGTTCTCATGAAAAACGACTTTTACACGCTTTACTAGACAACTATAACGTTTTAGAACGCCCCGTCGTCAATGAATCGGATCCGTTGCAATTGAGCTTTGGACTGACACTCATGCAGATTATCGATGTTGTAAGTATTGAGTCACATTTTATGCTATCTATTATAGTCTATATGTGTATATTGCACAAAGAATTAAATAATATATACACACACACAGAGGCACGCGCATATCAACACATCTGTATATGAGTGTATGGCTCACTGCAATATATATTACCCATTCCGCGAGCTTTTCGCATTAACTTGTTTGATTGGCACTCATGTTTCCGAACGTTGTTTCACATTGTTTCGTTAATTCGATTCTATAATTACCTATCAAATACTCATCACACTCATATATTGCTTATTTATATGGTATTTGATTTTCATTTCAGGACGAAAAAAATCAACTTCTCATATCAAATTTATGGCTGAAACTGGTAAACTATCTATCTCACTTAATCCAAAATCACATTTATTTAAATAAAATAAAAATTTGAGCGAGAGAAAAAAACAAAACTGGCTACACAACGAATCTATTCTTAGGAATGGAATGACATGAATTTACGATGGAATACGAGCGAATATGGGGGTGTAAAGGATTTACGAATACCACCGCATCGCCTCTGGAAGCCAGGTATATTAACTTTTTCACTATATTGACTGTAAATTGATTTTGTCATTCAATTAACTTGTGAATTTTCGAATGTGCTGCCGTTCAATAGACGTTTTAATGTACAACAGGTATTTCTTTCAATTCTATCAATAGTATTTGTGTTGAAATTGTTTTAAAAGGACTGTGACTGATGTCGATAGAAGTGGAACCATTTAAACGATTTCAAGTTCCACACTTGACTCGAGTCCTTTGACATTGGTCAAATTGCTCAAATCGTTGGATTTTAAATAAATGCCAGAACTTTCATAGCGCGCTAGATTTTTTTAGCACAGATCAGCCAATAATATTATGTTTAATGTATGCCATCCAAGTCCATTAAACTTTTTATGGAGTTTCCGAATTATTTATTTACATAAAAGTTTTTGTTATAGTCTCAACCACTTAATCGTAGTTTTCATTAGATCCAATTGATTTACAAGAAAGATAGAACCCAAATAAACCATTTGCTACCCCACACAACACGATATAGAACAGAATATTGCCGTTACAAAGTTCGAACAAAGGCGGAAAAAAAGAGAAAAAATCCATGAGAAATGTTTCGTTTTTACTTCGCAATACTGAATAAATAACAATACAGTGAAAAATGAAGAGAAGCCCCCATACCATTTTTCCTGTGAGTTAAAATGTAAACAACGATGTTTCGGTATATTTTTTTTCTCTCTCTCTCTCTCTCTTTACATACTTTTTTTGCATTCGCTTTGAAAGTTGTCCGGATGAAATGTGCAATGGAAAAGAGGAAAAGTATTCATTGTGCTTTTCTCCGTTCTTTTTTTTTCATTCTGTTTTCAGTTCCACAAAGAGCAACCAAAAGCGCGCGCGTCCATTGTATAGAAATATGTTCTTTATTGTGGCAAATAAAATTATATTGGTTGAAAAGAGTCAGAAATGGTGTTATAACCATACTTTCTTTTTTGCACCATAATAACTTTTAGCATTCAGATCAGTTTACGGCAACAATTCGCAACTCTTTAGTGATTCGAAAGAACAAGAAGATAAATGCGACATTTGCGTGACCTCTCTTGTTTTCACTTTTATGTAAATATACACCGCATTTCTTGCATTTTGTTCGGTTTCCTTTTTAGGCTAGATATTCATCACTTTTTCACTCATTTCACCATTTCACCATTTGAGATACGAGCTAACTGTCACAATGAACGAGTTGGCTTCATGTTTTATATATATATTACAAAATATAAACTTGAAGAAAATAATGCCTATATTTTTTTTTACTTTTCCCATTTTCATCTGTTGAGATTCGTAATGGATTTCTCTTCTGCTTCTTCTCTTTATTCCATCTGTGAGCGTATTGTGTGGATAATTTGAAAATTCTTTTATTTATTTTTTTCTTCATGGAATTAAAGCTACTAAGCTTTATGGCATTATAAGTCTGTATGCGATGTGCAATTTTCAAACAAAATGTACCATTTCTATATGCACTCAGTCATAAACGCACAGTTGGAAAATATATATTGTGGTGGTGGGTCATAACAAATATTCATATTACTTTACATTGTCTGCAAATGCCAGTTGCATCATCTGGTACACATTTCATCTTCATTCATATTAAATTTTGGTTTTATATTGCGAAAACTGCAATTATAGTTATTTCTCGCTATATCGTCGTCGCCGTTGCCGTCACTGCTGCTGTTAGCCGTTATTTTTGTTGTTGCGGCGTTTAGTTCTGATATGATCTTTTCAGTTCAAATGTGTTCTGTTTTTGAAATGTTCTGAATGTATGCATTTACAAAAGGCAGAGAAAAAGTTTTTTCTAAAAAAAAAAAACATTCGATCAATGGTTGGAGAGAGCTTTACTTTGGCCCAAAATTATCCGATGTAATGGGTTATGTGTATGCAATTTAATGTAGTCGGTTTTTGTTGTTAACATTTTCCACACTTAAAAGCAAAAACCCAACCATTTTATCATGTCGTTTTGATTGGCTTTTTGTTGCAATTGATGGCATATGTTTAACCATTTTATCCATAATACGCAATGGCAATAAACAAATATGCTGTTGTTGATGATATAATCTGAAACGTTCCTAATTACGATACACGTTGCAATTACACTGTGCACTCGTTATTCAATAAATATTTTGGTTTTTGTGTGCATTTAGCGCTGATGAAGGCTTTGATGGCACATACCCAACCAATGTAGTGGTACGCAATAACGGTAGTGTCGTCTATATTCCACCGGGAATATTCAAATCAACTTGCAAAATTGATATAACATGGTTTCCATTTGATGATCAGGTATGTGCGTTTGATAGTCGTGTGGTGTTTTTTTTTTGTTTTTGAATCGCTCTCTGGTGGCATTCAATTGATGATCAAACGCATTTGATATGCGCGATGCGCTTTTTCAGCGATGCGAAATGAAATTCGGCTCATGGACTTATGATGGTTTTCAATTGGACTTACAATTGCAAGATGAATCAGGCGGTGATATAAGCAGTTTTGTTACCAATGGCGAATGGGAATTGCTAGGTATGTACACAATTTGGTTATCCGAGTGTAAAAATCAATTGCAAATTTATTACATCAACATAGGAGTGCCAGGAAAACGTAATGAGATTTACTATAATTGCTGCCCAGAACCTTATATCGATATCACATTTGCGATAATTATTCGTCGAAAAACGTTGTACTATTTCTTTAACTTGATAGTGCCTTGCGTTCTAATCGCATCAATGGCTTTATTAGGGTAAGAAAACACTTGAACAAAAACCAAACAATCAATTAAACAACACATTAAACATTACTGTTAAAATGCATTAAATGATTTGCCACAATTTTACTTTTCAAATAGTTTTACACTACCGCCTGATAGGTGAGTTATAGTTGAGCTTTTTTTTATTGTTTTGATATATTTGGCATTGAACATTACAAGAATTTTAATAATGATTTTTGGCTTTTTCGCATCATCGTCCGATGTAATACTGACAGCGGGGAAAAACTTTCACTAGGTAATTGACAATTTTCTTTCGCATAAACGCTCTAACATATTCTGACGTATACTTTCTCTTTACTTCATACTCCTTTTATATAAAGGTGTAACAATCCTCCTATCCCTAACAGTCTTCCTCAATATGGTCGCAGGTATGTACATAAACTACATATAAATTCAAAGCAAAAAAATTTTTAATTTCGTTTCTTGCCATTCACTGCGGTCTATGCTAACAGAAACTATGCCTGCAACTTCAGATGTAAGTTTCTTTCACTAATTAAATATCATAAATAATAAATGTGCGCATTCACCATTGGTTGACATCAAATTTATCTATTTTATTAAACATTTGCAACCTTCAACTCTATTCATTTATGCAAATTCCTTGAGAAAATAGAAGAAAATCTCATTTTCCCTCTTTTTTGTCTTCATGTTCAAAATGCAAACATCATGAATAGGCTGTGCCATTGCTTGGTAAGTACAAACTTGTGTCGAATGAGTACGAAAATAATAATAAAAAAAAAGATTTTTTTAAAACCACATAATGGCGATAATTAACAATGACAATGTCAAAAACAACACGAAAATTTAACCCCAATAACATGACTATTGAAAGTTAAATGACAAAAAAAAGCAACAGGCAAACAAGTTGAAATTCCCATTCATCCACGACTTAGATTAATTTACCCCCATTTAATTTAGTTGTACCGAAATTGAGTGTGTACAATACAACGAAAAAAAAAAGAACGGCGGCTACTACGCGTGTGAGCTGTACGTAGCCCAAATAATCCAACATAATTTGTGTGACGTTTATTTTTCAAACCATATCGGTGATGGCAAGCTCAAAATAAAAATACAACTGACTTGCATAAATGACAGTTGGGTTTTGGTTTTTACATTTGATGGGAATTGGGCTGTTGCTAAATGTGTATATGAATTGATTGAGTTTTTGATTATGTAAAAACGAAACACAAAAGACAAAACTCAATTGCGATTCAAACACAGGCCTGTGCGCACAATTTCATGCGAAATAACCATATTGCATACATAAATAATTTCATTGAAATGAATTCGAAATATGTGTGTCATAGGCCATAGCATAAGCCATATTCTTGTCTATTTTCAAGTTAACATATTCTCGTGTTCTAAGTGAAAAAAAAAAAAAAAAAAAAAATATTGAACTTTAAATGTGTCGAATTTTCGAAATAAGTGTTGTTTACATGCAAAATAGCAATGTTGACAGGGCTCGTTTGTGTGGAATATATGAATGTATTACAGCAACAGAAAAAAAAAATCAAGTAATTCAAATCATTTCAGGTACATATTTCAATTGCATCATGTTTATGGTCGCGTCGTCAGTCGTTAGTACCATTTTAATTTTGAATTATCATCACCGCAATGCGGACACACATGAAATGTCCGACTGGGTAAATAATATTCAAAAATCTAACAAAAAAAAAACACTTAAAAACATTTTGGTTTGATTTATAAGCAAAAAGCTAAACAGCAAAAGTTTACACAATTTCTTCTTTTTATAATAATAATAATTAATTTCGATTGTATATTGTTCTCACTCACTTATTGTATACACACACTCTAACCCACACTCTCTCACTAACCTTAGCCGATATATACATATATATATTTATTAATCCGATCTCTATATCTATATATATAATAGTATTGTACTAATTGAGTTTGGTTTTCCTTTGCAAATTAAAATTTATCACCCAAAACACACTCTCACACACACAATTATATCACATTTTGAACGAATGTTTAACGCATTGAGTGATATGCATATAAACACCATAATAAGAATTTCAGTAAACACTATAAATTGCATCCGTGCATAAACGTAAACAATAATAATATATCAATATATCTTATGTATGTTTGGTTGACATTTTGCCTCATATAATGCTCATACATATTATTCGTAACACTCTTGTAACCTATTACAAATACTACTCTATATTTTTGGCCAATAATTTTCGTTTCTTTGTTGAACATGTTTTGTTTTTGTCGTGTTATTTCTTCTTTTTGTTTTTTGTCAGTGCAAATACATTTCTTTTTGATTTATATTCAGTAGTCACAGAGTTTAGTAAAACAGACGTAGCACGCATCGTACATAATATATTAATCTTGTCTATAGTTATATTTCGAGTGTATGCACAATTGCACAATGCAATGGATGGTTTTTGTATAATTCACATAAACCTAAATAAAGTTTGCCATAAACGAATTGCAAGCGATGAGAGAGTATTTTCTTTTAACTGAAAATGGTATCATAATACCCATTTTACGATTACAATTCAGTGCACGGTCTCCAAATGCACAGATTTATTGGATTTGACTTGCACACACAAATATCAAAAACGATGTGGTTGCCTTTTTTTCTCTCGCCATCTTCTCTGGGATAAATGGTGCACGTACTATATTTGCATTTTTGGTTATTGTAAAACTAATAAACCATTTTTCAATACAAACAAACAAGACTGAATCACATAAATATTATAGTGCGTTTTAATTTTAGTCAATCCGAATTCCCTCGAAAATTACAGAGAACATCAGTAATATTTCAAATCCGAAAAAAAAACATTGAGCTCACTTCAAAATATTATTTGAAGACAATTTTACCATCCAATTTTTTTTTATCTCACAAAAAGAGTGATGTTTTCTTTTCATTAATCGTAAATGTAGAGCACAAAAGCATTAAACATGAAAACGATCTATTCACGTAAAAAAAGCTTTTAATAAACAAGACATCTCTTCTGTCTGCATGAGTTTCGCGCCCTACCCATTCTCTATGACCTAAAAATTGGCAATGACATCTTTCACATAAAAACTAGAGAGTTCATGTCTTAGACAATTTATAATCACAACAAAAAAAATTCTATTTGCTTTGAGGGTTCTATCGCAATTTTATCGTTAGCATCTAATAAAATATTTGTTTGACAAACCTACAAACGCTTCTAACTGGTAATGTAATGAATAATGTGTTGATTAGTATTGCGCTCAATAGCTTTCATAAATGAATGTATTCTGATTTTTAATGCTAGATCCCTCGCTATCGCTCATTGTTTATTCCCCCGTCCCCCCGAACAACAACAACAACGAAAAAAAAGAGAAAAACAAAAGCCTGCCAAATTTGTCATATATTGAAAGCAGAACGAAAAAAATAGTACACGGTCAATTACCGTCGATTGGGATGTTGTTTCATTAATCAGACTTAAGTCTGATTTTGGTTTCAAATTTTATTCCGAATTTATTAATAAATCAGTTCTCTTTGATTGAAATAGTTTTACAGTTAAAATTCAGCTGATTCAGACAACATTGCAATATAGCTCGTTTATTGCAAAATGCGGTATTTTATTACATAATTAATTTTTCGTATTACCGTTGAACTCCATAGAAAGGTTAAAAAAAGGTTATCCGAGTCGTTTTCGCTTTCCATTTTCGTAACAATTTTTATTCGTATAATTTTTATATTCATTTTGTGTTCATCATATTTTCGTATAAAGTTTTTTTTTTTACTTGCTAAAATTCCAAACAATTCATTAATTACAGAAAAAGTTCAGAGTAATGTTATTTAATTTTTGAACAATATATTTTTTATACAAAAAAAAAATACGTAACATTTGGTTTTTCTTCTTACAAAGTTGCAGTTGAATTTGAATCGTGCACGCTAATTGAGTACTTTAGTAATAATAAAAAAAAGAAGCTTAGATTCGCTGCATCATCCATTACTTACTCAATCAATTTACATGGAACATTTGCCCTATTTTATGTTATCTCAGGTACGAGTTGTATTTTTATATTGGCTTCCATGTATTTTGCGAATGAGTCGTCCCACCCCCGAGGAAGATGAAGATAAACTCGATAAAAAAGCACAACAACTACAGAGCGTGGAACTTAAAGAACGGTAAGTGGTGTACGGGTATTTATGGTCATGATTCAATAAAATTGAAATCATCATCTTTGATTGATTCGAACTTTACAGCTCATCCAAATCATTACTGGCGAATGTACTTGACATCGATGATGATTTTAGATGCAATCACAGTTGCCCAGCATTTCTTCAACAGCCAACGTACTATCGTACTGTTTACAGGTATTGAAAAATGTGCATTTTCATTGCTTTTTTTGTGGTTTGCGTTTTTTTTACTTTCTGTCGCCGCGGATACAGGGGTGAAGCGGAAGAAAGTATTGGAACGATTGCCGATACTCGTATTAATCATCAATATCCGCAAACATGTTTTGGTTCGTCCGAATATGAATTAGCAATGATACTGAAGGAGCTGCGTTGGATCACTGATCAGGTGATAAAACGAATATTTTTTTGGAAATTCTTGTTTTTTTTATCAAATAAATTTGTCCATGAAAATAGCTGAAACAAGAGGATGCCGATAACGAAATATCACGTGATTGGAAATTTGCTGCAATGGTTGTTGATAGACTATGTCTAATTATTTTTACTCTATTTACGCTACTCGCCACTTTATTTGTATTATTCTCAGCCCCGAATTTTTTGCTATAAGCAAATTGCAATTGTTAACACAACCACATAAAATAAATGTGAAACGCACGAATTCGAATGCAACCGAAACATACTTGATATTTATAACTCTATATTAGCATTAATACATACGGAAAAACAGCAAGAGAAAAAAATAAATTATTACACACTGACACCACACAGGTTCACACTCAATCACACACAAACACACACAAATATTATTGCCATTAAATGAATACGGAATATGCTTTGTAAACATATAAAAATCGCGTGTTTTCACATTTGAATACCGAACATAGCCTAAGATAAGCTATTTAAAAAGAACTAGAAACGACTTGCTATGATGAAATTAGAAACTCAGCATTGTTTGATTACTATTAATACTACAGTTATATTAAATATAGTTGAATAGAAGTGAACTTAAAAATGAAAAAAAAAACTGGTTGAGAAATGAGGAAAATTATCGAATTTTGTAAGAAACTGTTAAAGCATGCATTTAAATTGCATTTGAACAAAAAAAAAAACAAAATGGTTCAGATTATTATTGATATATAGTTAGCAGCAATCAAAGGAATTCTTCCACACACTTGTATTTTTGCCTTCAAAATCCAACTGCATTTTTCTAATACATATTTAATGAAAATTTCACTGCATTGAAACAAACAAAAAAATTGACACTATATTGAGAATAGGTTTTCTTATTTCACCATTTAGACGAATGAGATTTGAATTTATTTTTAGTTTATTTTAAGCCCTCGACTGATATATGTCGAATGCTTAGAGTTTTACACTTGCGATAGGTCGTCGAAGCTAACGCATGCATAAAGTAATACAATCAATCAATCAATTAACCCCATTAGAAGAATATTCAATTTTTATTAAACAATAAGAAAACAAGTTATTGATTTTACATTTCTATAGAAATTGTATTTATACAGGTTAATAAAAAATGATATACCATTCGATAAATGCATTTCTTTCATTCATTTCCGAAAGTTTGCGTTCAAATTTTCAGGGAAATTTTATTTTCAAAAATCTACTCGATCGATAGTGTAAAATTTACTGAAAAACGTGAGAGTTTCGTACAAATTGAAAGAAAGCCCTTTCGCACACTAATATAAAGCTGAGTAAGTAAGCTAAGTATTTTTTGGTTGACTTTGTTTGTCTCTCAAAGGTTGACATTTTTGGACACGGATATTTGTTGCCACCTTTATAATTGCCTGTGATGCCTTTCACTCCACCTGAAAATATTTGGACCAAGAAAAACGTTCACATATAGCCCTGACTGTTTTTTTTCTTCTTCTGTGAATTTGATTCCTTTATACAAGTTTTTCGGTTTTCTTCTTTTATTGAATATTTCATTTGAAAAATGTCTTTACCACATTAATTTATTTATAAAATGTGAATATGATTTGATGCAAATATCTAACTGTCATTTGATTTTACTTCGCTAACCATGTAGCATTGATTTTGTATGGTTGATACACAATTTTAGCTGTGTGTGGAGATAGAAAGGGAGATAAATGTATTATCGAAAGATCGAAAAAAGAAACAATGTGTACGCTCATTTAGAACATTTTTCTAATCGTCAATTTGTAAATCTCAAATACATTTAAACACATTTATTATTTGCCGATTAAATATAAATATCATGCATATAGATCGATGCACACTGACAAACATTACGAGTTTTTTTAAATTGTATTTGATCGTGTATTTTGGTGTAAACCACGCACCAGCGACACGTCCTATGTTATATGGCTTTGGTGCAAATCGTGCAAAAATGAATATTAAAAGGATCCATATGGAATACGTGACTTAATATCATGAAAAAGTAAATAGCCTGATAAATATTTTCTGGAAATATTTGATTTTGAACTAAAAAACTGTGGTTTTTCTCAGGCAACGTTCGTTATAGCATGTTTTTTTTACTAAATTATGAGTAAAAGTATTGTAAAAAATGAATTTGAGATTTTGAAAGTTCTAAATAAAAGTTTTTTTTCGATCTAACATTGCATTTTCTCCCATTTTCGTTACACACCGTTACAAAATCTATATATAATGAAAATTAATAACATCTAAAATAATCATGATGTCAATCATGTTTATGATTAATGTGATGAATTTTTGGTTTTTTCAATTTTTTCTCTCTTAGTTTCGTCATGTGTTTCATCACAAAATAAAGACCTGGCAACAGTACGCAAACCATATAAAATTTCATAAAATTGACCATGTCAAAGGTGAAGTTCATTCTATTCGGCATTTCGATTGTAAAACGTTTTGTTTCCTCAAAAAGTGGTAAGCTACGCAAAAGAATGGTTCCTTCTGCAAAAACGCCCAACGGATATAACACAATCCAAATGGAGTATCTCAGCCAAGTGAGCAATGCGATATCTTTTTTAAGCAATGCAATTATATAGTATGGATATCTTATCAATTCAACCAACGACCAAACTAGAAATAACATAAATATAACTGGCATCTCTTGGAGACGATCTTCTGCGTGCACTACAGCAAACAGTACGAAATTTCGTCCGGTCACTTGAAGGAATGGAAACAGTGGCGATCCTTTTGTGTAACCAACCAGTGCATTGAGAAATTCCAAGTACTGTAGTGCCTGACTCGTTCTCATGGCCGCTCCCACTGTTTTGTAAGTTGATTTTGATACAGCGCTGAGCCCATCACGACTTGCAGTTATTAAAAGTACCAGTACGATGTAAAAAAATGCGATAAACTGGTACAAATTGTACATTATCAAGTAAATGGTCTTTCGATCAGCTAAAATAAATTGAAAGCAATGAAACTAACAGAGTGTGCTATGTCGGGGTAAAAAAAAACTAACCTCTTTGATAACCAAACTCCTCTTTAAATACCACATCATCGATTCCAGGATAGTCTGTTCGAATGTCACGATATTCTGCCTCATCATTCAAATCCATTTTGTTTCGTGATATCCACGTCTCTTCGTGTATCTAATCAAATTTAAAACAAAAATTATTCTTTGTCGATTTAACCATTATGATGCAATAGAATCATCCTGTCAACAGCTAAATTTTCGGCTACAGTGCGGTACTTGCGACAACAATATATCTCATGAAAAATCAATAACAGAGAACAATTGTTTACGTTCAATAGCAGAAAATTTATCCATCCAGCGAGTAATTTCTCGAAAACAACGAGCTAAACTCAAGTATTTACATGAATCCAATTTTGTTTCTGCGGTTGAGCTGTAAGACGAGACCACCAAATATCCGGATTTCTTTTCTTCAGAATAATTTGGAGTTTGGAGTCAACGTTTGATATAACACATGAATCGATCGACTGAAATTTTCAGATGGAATTTTATTAGCCGAAGGAATGTTACAATTTCATCATATAACTACTTACCTCTGCATCAATCGCTTCGAAAAGGTTTATTTCGAAATAATATTTGTGCGGTCCATTATCAGCTGCACCAAATCCGTATGCCTCCAACGAAATAAACCTTTCTTCCAGCTTAATGTTTGGTAACTACCAAATCATGACAATGACACAAAAAAATGTTATCAACAAATTGTTTCCATCTCAATGTTAATCCGCCATATTTAATAAATTTATCAAAAATCATCTAACAACATACCATATCATCTAATAGTAAAGCAACTATTAGCCTTATTTCGTCATCGGTTTGCGACCAATAGACTTGCGGACATTTTTTACGAATCACCATATTCAACGTTTTAAACTATTTTTCCGTTCAAGTCAATTTATTTATGTGCATATACTATGCAGAGCAATTGCAGTCTTTATTCCGTCTGTTTAGCGTATTTTCTTTACTTTGGTTTAAATTGAAAACTTCCACTTTCGCTTGTCATAATGACAATATTTTTTTTAAAGGTACAAACAGCAACACGCGACTAGGTGTGTGGTGCACATATGTTGTTTTCCGCAAACTTTTTCTCCTTATTTAGACCGATACACGGAATACTCGTTTTTTTTCTGTTATCTTTTGAAGCCACTCATATGGATTTGAACAATTTTGAATGCATATTTATGTTGTTTGTGTGAAACATTATCAAACATTTATTAAATGACATTTCGTTTGCATCGTGCAACACTCACGGTTTATGAGAAAATTGGCGCCAAATATATCATAACATTTTTTCTTTGCTTTCCCTGCTCAAAACAGCATCAATGAAAAAAATGTAAATAAAAGACATTGCATATGCTGGTTATTGACGTTTAATCATGATAAGAGTTTGACATTTATAAAAAATCACGGTCATTTCAAATTCATTTGAACCGTGACTAACGATTACGATTTATTCAAATATAATTCTAGTATCCACTATCCAGTAGTAATTTAATGTCATAAATTCATGTCAGATACACAGTATTTTCATCTTAATTTCAAATAATAATGTAAACAACGAAGACATGGTATGAAAATGAGAAATGGAACGTATTTTTACTTTGGTCCGCGTCGTGGTGTTTTGGCACCGGTTTTGGCTTTCTTGCTTGCTGAACCCTTTTGAGCTGTATCAGATTTCCGCTTATTGTTGTTTGGTGTCGATGGAAGAACCTTGAAGAAACTGTCCAAACGCCCTTGTGTCGATGTTGTGCGTGTCTTTAGAATTTTCTTGCAACCACTACGAATACGTTCTTCGTTGAATTGTCGATCACCGCAAAGGTATTTCACCAAACCTTCTTCATCGGGATCGGTCCATTTAATCTACAATTCGTAAACAATCATTTCATTGATTTATTCATTTCAAAACAATAAGTTGTGAAGTTGTTTTGAGTTAAAAATAACGAGGTATGCTATGATGATTTGAATACAAACAGTGTATTTTTGCTTAAGTTCGCATAATTTCACAATCAAATCATTTGGGACTTGGTTACTTACCTCGACTTTGTCTGCATCAATAACTTCGGGATTAATGAACAATTCACGCGCTTGCTCGTAATTCCAATCGTCTGGAACAATGTACTTGCCTTGATCGATGTTTTTAAGGACTTCCTCAATGCATTTGTGCTTTGAAATCAATTCGAATGCCTTTTTCGGGCCAATTCCACGAATGGTCTCACAATAATCGCAACCAAGTAAAATGCACAGATCAACAAACTTAAAATAAAAGTTCATCATTAAGATTATGTCGAAAGAGAGATTTCAAATCAAATAACGCTGTTTACCTGTTCACGTGTGAATTCGAGTTCTTGAAGAATTTTATCGTAGTAAAATTCTTGAACTGGCATTTTGCGTGCTTCACTGAACGTCAAATGGCGCAACAAAATATTTGTTCCAAATGTCAGAGCGTCCATATCCTCAGTTGCAGTGGCATAGACCTTTCCAGATTTCACCAAGGCAGCACACTATCGACAACGAACGAAAGAAAGAATAAGATTAATTGTATTCGAAATGCATCAACATTTTCAATTGTTTACCGTTGCTTCTGCTTCGGATGGGGCGTCAATGTACGGTACGCCCATCAATGTGAGCAATTCTTTTGCTTCGGCGTTGTGCTGTTTTGTTACTCGAACCAAGCGACGATTGAACTTTTCCATATCGGCCGCATCTCCATCTTCAGTTGCCTTATCCAGTGCTTTTTGAGCTTCTTCACGTTTTTCTGCCCGCTTTGTTAGTTCGCCCGATTTCAATTCTGGTGGCTTTCCATCAAACACATAGACCGGTTTGATTCCATTATCCAGCATTCGAATCGTACGGTAAAACATTCCCATCAAATGTGATGTCGTTTCACCATCGATCGATGTCAATTGAGCTCCTTCGGAACGTACAGCAATCAAAAATTGATACAAGCACATACTTGCATCGATTGCGATTTTTCGACCTGGAAATACAATGGATGGTTTTCATGAAATGACACGCACAATCATGAAAAACAATTGAAAACTCACCGAAATAATTTTTGATTTCATTTTCTTTGACGGACGATGGTGCTGCGTCGGCAATTGTTTTATATAGGTCCTTAATACCCATCGCGGTGTCTTCGATCGATACAAACTTTGAACAAAACAATTTAAATAATATAAATGGTCAGAGGAATGATTGAAACAGTTCGTCGTTGAAAACAAACGATGACTTATGCAGCTTGTGTCGCAAATGATACCGCCAAATATGACAGAACGACGCAAAATGTTATTCATGTTTTGGTCATGACTGACTACAGCGCCGCGATAGAAGCTGACAGCATTTTAAAAGTGAACAAAGTGATTTTTTGCTAATCATTGTTTAGTTTTATTTCAATAAATTATTGATTAGATCAAATTGTATAGAAAATAATTGACTAAACTGAAATTTGAAGAAAAAGAAAATAAATCCATGAACTGTTTTTCTAAGAAAAAAAATCTCAAATTAAAACCGCCAAATTTGAATTTCACTCGAATACAGAGCTAAGTGACATTGGCGCCACCAAACACCATGAACAGAACTGCAACAATATTTTGACAACAATTGACTTGTTTTGAAAGCATTCCACATATTGACACGTAAAAAAATGAAAGTTAATGATTCAATTTCCAGATTGTAAAGCAAGTGGTTGTATATCACTTTTATCCACAACAAAAATCCAACAACATTCCGTAAAAAGTGAGCTACACTTAAGAATTATGAAAATTATGGAAGAAAAATTAAACCTTTTACAAATAACATAATTTTAATTAAATTCACAGTAAATATCCGCTGCGATGGCATCAATTGAAGAACTACAATCACAAATAGCCGAACTGAAAAATGAGTTGCTCAAGTATAAGAGCTCGGGCGGACGCGAACGTATTGAAAAGATGTCGGCTGAAGTGAAAGATTCGAATCCATACAGTCGTTTGATGGCATTGCAACGCATGGGAATTGTCGAAAATTATGAGCGTATCCGTGAGAAAAGTATCGCTGTTGTTGGAATTGGTGGTGTTGGCAGTGTAACAGCTGACATGTTAACTCGATGTGGTGTTGGAAAACTCATCTTATTCGATTACGATAAAGTTGAATTGGCCAATATGAATCGTTTATTCTTCACTCCCGATCAAGCTGGTTTGTCAAAGGTCGACGCAGCCGCTCGAACTTTACAATTCATAAATCCGGACGTTCGCATTTTTACCCATAACTACAATATCACCACGGTCGATTCGTTTGATCACTTTTTGAATGCAATTCAAACTGGTAGTTTGGATGGCAAGAGTTCGGTGGATTTGGTGCTAAGTTGTGTCGATAATTTCGAAGCACGAATGGCCATAAATACAGCATGTAATGAGCTCAATATTAATTGGTTTGAATCAGGTGTATCAGAAAATGCCGTTTCGGGTCATATTCAACTTTTGAAACCGGGTGAAACGGCATGTTTTGCATGCGCTCCACCACTTGTTGTTGCTGACAACATTGACGAGAAAACATTAAAACGAGAAGGAGTGTGTGCAGCATCTTTACCCACTACCATGGGAATGGTCGCTGGAATGCTTGTGCAAAATACACTTAAATATCTTTTGAACTTCGGTGAAGTGTCTGATTATTTGGGCTACAATGCAATGATCGACTTTTTCCCGAAAATGAGCTTAAAACCGAATCTGCAGTGCACTGATCGATATTGTAAAGAAAGACAAAAGGAATACAATGCACGTCCCAAGGTGGAAATAACTGCCACGGCAAAAGCCGACGATGCCGTTGTGCACAGTGATAATATTTATGGAATCGAATTAGTATCAGAAGATGAAGGAACGAGTTCAGTGGAGAAATCGTCATCAATCAATGTGAACGCCGGTCTAAAATTAGCCTATGACGCACCAGACGTAGTAGAAGATGTTGCTGCAACCACTTCAAATGCCAACAATGATGGGCCTAGCCTAGAAGAACTCATGGCACAAATGAAATCCATATAATCTCTACTATTCTTTCCGGAAAAACGTTATTTTATAAGGCAAAACATTTGATATATTCAAACAAAAGAAAGTAAATAAACAGCATATTTCATATTATTTTAAAAATATCTCAAAAGAAACTTGTATCAATGCATTTGCACACAACTTCATGTTAATCGCACTGAAAGGCTGTGACTTCTTCTTCTTCTTCGTTTTGTCATTAATTTTTTCATACTTCACGTGACATTTATTTATTTACAGGTCACATACACAAACGACCAATATTATAGAATATTTTTTCTCACTGAATTGTCAAATAATGGCCGAACATGGTGATATTCAAGAAATAAATCAGGAACAAGAGCTAAAGGATCAATTGGAAAAAATTTGCTTAGACTATCAATCGCTTGTGAATAACAGCCGTGAAATGGCCCCAAAAGGAACAAACACAAAGAAAACACCCGATGCAAACGCTGAAAATAGTATTGACGACGATGATTTGGAAGGCAAGTCTTTGACTCTTATTTTTACCTGACTGATTGTATTTCGTTGGTTTTTCTTTTGATTCTAATACAAATGCGTGTTAATTCACAGAAATTGCAAATGTTGCCGATAATTTGGATTCATTAGAATCAGCCCTGGATATGATTGAAGAGCGAGCTGATCGAATTCGTGAGCAATTGCTGGAATTGTTGACCTCGAATCGAGAGATACGCCAATCGATCAAAGAAGAGAACGATAAACTGCGTGAAGGTCAAAGCCAAGAGAGTTCAGATGTAAGCAACTCATCTGAAGCAAATAACGAACAAACAAACGATGATAATAATCATTGAAAGGGATTTACAATTCTATAAATAATATAAATTTTTGAATTTGTGTGAATACAAAAGAGAGAACTTTATTTAGTTCGCGGTTATAATGTAAATATAAATTTTAAACCGTTTTTTTTTTCGGAAAAATAAATGAATAGTATTAGAAGTTATGATTTGATGCGTCGAAAAACAGCTACAAACTTATCCCCCTTGTTTCGTGTTACTTTTTGACCCTCTTCACTGGTCTCGTACAATTTTTCAACAACCGGATCTGAATCCTATATTGATATGAACGTGCAATGAAAGAATCAATAAATATAACAAATAGAAATTGTCGTGTTTTTTTCACATACCAATTCGTCCCCGACAATTCGTTCGAAGAGAGAGTGCTTTTCTAGATGATGCACCATCCATTCGTGTAAATCTTTTACATCGGTTATTGTGTAAAGAATTCCCTGCAATTGAGGATAAGCAGATATTAGAAATAGTATGTAAGCGGTGCATTTCACGAAAAGACAGCAAACATGTATTTTTAATGTGTATCATATAGCCGTGCAATGAATAGCTCTTTCTACTTATCGTCAAGCAAATGGACAATGTTAACTAGATCCTCAGAGCTCAGAGCATGTTTTGATGCTATTTAAAAAGCTTTTATCCACCATTACATAATGAATATGAGATAATAACTATAATAATATAATAGTCATTTAACACCATTAAATTAAACATCTCGACAAATAGGTCGCCTATTAGCAGTGATTAGCTTAATTTCATTGGGTCAATAGGACCATTTAACAGCAACTCGGATCAAAATAAATTTAAATAATAACAGCTACTCATCGCATGGCTGTGTGACCGTTCTTCAGTCTGGGCCCCAAATTTGTCTCACAAAACTTGTGTTCAAACACCAAACATATTGAATTAAGCAATTGAACTTACTCCTTCGCGTAAACAATACGCATACTCTGTGAGTAGAGCTGTATTTATGATGCGCCATTTGTGTTTGGATCTCTTAAAATGTGGATCAGGATAAAGAAAGCACATTTTGGATAATTGTCCCTTCTTAAAATAGTTTGGCAAATATTTCATTGCATTGGTTCGGAGGCATGCGATATTTTGATATTGATTTGGATGCAATTTTCGTAACGCATCAATCCTATCCATCACATAGTCTGACACCTTAACTCGAATCTCAAAGCCAATAGCAAATTTATCCGGGAACAACTCGCTCAGCGTGACAAGAAATCCTCCATAACCACATCCAACGTCGGCAAATTCAACTTGATTATTTCCAATGTTTGGATACAATTGCGACCAATCAAATTCATCTGGATGTGCAGGGCTGCAAAGTATACGAATATATTATAAAAAAATGTTTCCCATAATTAAATTCCCAAAAGAACTCACTAGTCGAATGTGTGATCGGCTATTGGATTGGAATGTGCACGTTGTCGGTAAAATCGTTTCTGTGGCAATTTACATGCTTTGGATTTATTTGGAACGCTTGCTTCCTCCATCGCTTATATCAAATAAAATAAGATTCTCCAACGCCAAACAAATAATAGCCGTAAACAAATGGTAACCTCTATCGAAAATTCACTTCACACGTTCCTCTCGTTCACAGACAAGTACGAGTGTGAGTTTGACATTTATTCAAACCGACAGCATTTTATTTATCATACAAAACGTGCGATTGACATGTGAGGTTATATCGTCCCTACTGTTTCATTTGTAATCAGAACGTGTGTGTTTTTGGTTTACAATACCGAGTGATTAGAATTTGATTGAGTTTTTTTTATTTTATCGCCTTGAAACATGGGAAAACGAAAGGGAAAAGCTTTAAAGAAAAATCATGTGTTCGATGAATCGGAATCGCCCGAAACATTAAATGCACCTCATTCATTTGTGATCCATCGTGGTTTACCGTTTCCAAATATCACATATTTGACCATGGATTTTCGTCGTATGATGGAACCATTCACCGCATCCGCATTGCGTGAACGTCGTAATAATAAAATCAAAGATTTTATTAATTTGTCTGGCGTTTTCCATGTTTCGCACATGGTCATTTTCAATAAGTCAGTCAATCAACTGTCATTCAAAGTTGCCCGTTTACCGAAGGGACCGACGCTAAATTTTAAAATTCATCAATTCACATTGGCACGCGATGTCTTGTCCTCGATGAGAAAGCAATATTTTAACGATACTGCATTCAAACATGCACCTTTGGTAAGCACTTCAATTATTCTAACGTTGAAGATTCGTCTCCAATTTAACTTTGAAATAAATGTTATTGTAGGTCATTTTGAATAATTTTACGGGCGAAGGAAATCACTTGAAGCTGATGGCAAGCACATTTCAAAACCTATTTCCCACCATTAACTTGGCGACGGTGAATTTGTCCACGATCAAGAGATGCGTTTTATTTTCGTACAACTCTGTAACGAATTTAATTGATATGCGCCATTTCGCCGTCAGTGTTGTACCAGTTGGCTTGAATCGCAGCGTTAAAAAGGTTATATTGGGAAAAGTGCCCAATTTGTCGAAATGCGAAGATATCGCTGATTTTATAGAACAGTAAGTTTAAGAAGGGTTTTAATGCATTCCCGTCTCACATTTAAAAACGCATCTAATGTGAATTTTCTCTGGTATAATTACAGGAGCGGTAATGTATCAGAATCCGAATATGAAGATGATGAAAATAATGAAGTGGTTTTACCACAAACTCTCAATTCACGCGGTAATTTGGAGAACAATAAGTCGGCAATTCGTTTGCACGAGATTGGACCACGTCTTACTATCGAATTGGTTAAAATTCAGAATGATTTGATGGCCGGAGAGGTTTTGTACCACAGCACCATTGTGAAAACCGAAGAAGAATTGGCCGAAATAAAGAAAGCGCGGGAAGAGAAAAAACGAATTAAAGAGCTACGTAAAAAGGTCCAAAATGAAAATGTTGCGAAAAAAGAGATGGAAAAGAGTGAACACAAAAAACGATCGATGAAACGTGATCCGCATCACGTAAACGAAGAAGAGTATGTCGATAATGACGCCGACTACTATCGCGAAGAGGTTGGCGAAGAGCCAGATGAAGGTATTTTCTTCAACATTCACATCAATTTTTTTATGCAACTCAATTTGTTTTTACTAATGTATACTTTGTTTGGAATTGTATTCAGAATTGTTCCACACATCGCACATAGCTGGAGGTCGAAAGCGTGCCTTTGTGCCCAAACACATGAAACAAAAAGAAACCAAACGACGCAAGCTTGAAAATACCACTCAGCAAGATCGGAAAAAATTCAATAAGAGTGGAGATAAAGATCACAAAAACAGTTCGGAGCCAAAAGACGGTAAGAAATTCGGAGGAAAATCCAACAAAAATACAGACCAATCAAATACAAAGAAAGTGAAAAAGACCAAGGTGAAAAAATCAAAGGGAAAGAAGAAGTCACACCGAAATAAGAACAAATAGTGTTCAGGTTTCATTGTAAAATACACATTTTTATTAATAAAAAAAATTCTCGAAAATTCTACTCAAAATGAGTACTTATTCAAAATGAGTGAAAATATTGAGGAAAAAGTCTTCTGACAAAGGTTTGGAACTATTTGGTAGCAGTCTGCTGTTTTACACACAACAGAATTTATGAGCTTTTTTCGGCACAAACAAAAAGTGGATACGGAACGGAATACAATGCAATATGATATATGAAGTTTGTTTATTTAACACTCAAAATGCCCCCTTTTTTTGCAAACATACCAAGTCGGCTGGTGAACGGATTCGAATGATGCGTGTACATAATGTGTACGCATACATAAAAACCAGCATCATGTCCATAAATAACAAATTTTGATGAATGAGCTACGTCAAAGACATCTAAAACCCACACATACTTAGCATATAATGAAAAAGAGTGGAAGCGAATGAATGTCGAAAACAACACCCCATAACATCAAGCTCAACACACAATGCTGCATACAAAAACTGTCTGCATCACAATAAACCAGTCAAGCACAATGAGCACGAGAGTTTGGTGATTTTTCATTATTGTTCAGCCTTAGTTTTCCACAACATTAGTCTAATATTATAAATATTATTATCGACAATCCAATTAAAACTGTAAATGTTTCGTTTCATATATTGTTGTGATTATTTTTTATCGTCAAATGAATGTAATGAGAGTCCTTGGGGAAAAATAAATTAAAATAGCGAAAAATAGTTCAACTGGGAAATAAACAGAACAGTAGCAAACTACGCAAAACTCACATTGAACAAACTAAATCCAGGCTTACTCTATTTCATGCAATTTCATATAATGTGCAATTCCCAACTTATGTTGTTTCGCATCGCTTGAAATTGGTATCATTTGAGTGGAGAACGTTTTTGTGTTTATTGTTATTATTATTGTGGATATGCGAGTGCAAGTTATTGAAGCAGCAACGAAAATTATCTATTGTAAAAGTTGAATCAAACATGCTTTCATCCGTCAACTTTGATTCCAATTTAATACTTGGATATTTCATAGAAAATATTTCTGGAATAAACAGTGAACGAGAAAATCATAAATTAAAATTAAAATTGTAATTAGAGATAGCAGTGATAGTGATAATGATTAATGTTGCCATTAAAAAGAGCCCTTAATCAGAAATCTCCTCGAATAAATTTAATTAATAGCTCTACTTGATGCATCAACTTAAATTGATTGTTACAATGAAAAGTGTTCATTAAAAGTGTACTATATACCTTAAATAAAAGGTACATTTGTATAATACCCAACAAACATTAAGTAAACCGAACTGTGATAATTGGTCATTGAAACAGTGGATGGAAACTCGAAACACCTGTTGATCTGAGGAAAATGTGTAATTTGATATTTGTTACGTCATATTATTGAAATGCAAGAAATTAAATCGTTTGGGTCACGTACACGATATATTCCAAACGCATAAAAGCTTGCTTCGGCAAGGCCAATCGTGCTTATGCTCGATTCAATGATGAGATCAAATCATAATAACAAATATAATGAACAATTTTGACGATGCAAAAAAAAAGATAGAAATAAATGATGCAGAGTACGACATGAACAACAAATCCAATGTTGAAAGCAACGATCAAATCCAAACGCTGAGCATGGATGCTCTTGAGAGTTTAATAATACATAAAAAATGTGTAATGATGTGACAAAAATGATACGAGTACAAAATATCATATTTGTCTTGCTGCTGCTGCTCATATCGCCCCAGCCATTGCTCTCGCTATCTGTATTGTGTAATGGTTTGTGTGTTTGGCTTCTATCCGATTTTGTAATGCCGTCCAACATACTAGTCCAATGAAGCGGAGATGGAATGCTGGACCGCGCATAGATATGTACATAAGTGGTACATAGCCGTTCTACAAAATATACCATTCGTACTTTATGCTCTTTTTTTTTGCACAGAATGTTGAGAGTCAAGATTCGATGGATTCTATGTGCGACACTCCATAGAGCAACAAACAATATTGTAGTGAGTAAACCATGTGTAAGACAAACAACAATTTTGTCTTTCTTTTTTGTTGTTGTTGTTGTTGTACACTTATATAGTATACATATTTTATTTCTCTCCTCTTTTTTAGTGCATTGTGTGCCGTTGAGTTTAACTGCATGTACTTGAATTGGTTTCGGTTTGTGCGCGTTTTCATTTCGAACGATACACATACGTCTCTTTCAATCCTCGGCTCGGTACAACGGTCGTGTGTTACGTTCATTCAATTGATCGGATTAAAAGCGAGAGTTTCCCTACGCGAGACATTTATGTTGCTGGTTTTGTTTTTTATTTCGATTAACTTCAATTCGCATTTGGTTCTCAATTTTTTTTTTCTCGGTTCGAAACGTTACAAAAATATCGAGTATGAAACATTCGCTTGAAATTTTTTATACCGACTATAGTTGCTATTCGAATTGGCCATAAGCTAAATATGCTATATATGTAAAATAATAAATTGTAATTGTAAACGAATGTTTGTTGACGGTGGGTTGGTGTGTATTAACCAAAAGCGGTATATTCGGTCATGTTACAATTTCCAAAATCAAATCAATTCGAAATGAATTCAAAGTGAGACGGAATTTACATTCATAAAACACAATCGAGTGAGCAAAGTGAAAGAGCAACAAGACATTAAGTGAAAGAGCCATAGATTGACTGTGTGTAACTATATTTAAAATTATGAACAATAGCACAAGCGAAAAAAAAGAAAACAAACAAATTAAGATAGTAAAACGTAAGAGAAGTGCTTGAATTTAGTCAGTGTACTTCTACAGTAACATAGGAAAAGCAGTGTTCGGCAAAGTATTGACATCGTTCGATTGGTAATTTTTTTGATGTTGGAAAACGACGGCAAATGAATTTATCTCAAAAGCAAAGAAATTTATCAAAAAACATCATAAATGCGTGATTTTAATTAAATTCAATTGAAATAAGTCAAGTGTTGTAAAAGCCGAGATTTAATTTTCATACAAATAAAGAGCGAACTGTGAACGAAAGTAGAAATAATGTCGATTTCAACATCAAGTGAGTGTAAACATTTACGACGATCACATTCATTGCCGCATATCGCTCTTAGACATGATTCGGGTGTATCAGGAATCACAGCCACAACGAACACTGGGTCCGGTTCATGCAGTTTATTAGATCAAATCGATTACGATTCAGCAATGTGCAACGAACATCAGTATAATATACCAGCGCGTCATTTTAATAAAGTTAAATATAACCATAACTACCATCATCACAATCATCATCAACAATACGAAAATGTAAGAATGCATTTTGCTCATTTTCTTTTCTTACGATGATGAAGTAAACATTATAAATGAGCTTGTATTATAATTTGTGCATTCCATTAGCTAGAACAATTTTAATTAAATCCATTTGGGTGTTCTGGTCTACATTTCAACCGAAACGCAATTTTTTTCGCTGATTTTTGTATTTCAATCTCAAACGCAATTTCCGAACGATATTCTGATGCATTCTTTGTTTTTTTTCTCTCTAATACGTTATAGTCATATGATATGAGATTATTTGCTGATTTGCGACAGTTGTTGACCCTACGACAGTGGTATTACACTGAAGGTATTGTACAAGGCGATTCATCTATTATATACATTTATAGCAGTTGTTATTTGCTCCATGTATCTCGGATAGACTTGTGATTCAATGCTTTTACGATTATATCTTCCAAACAAAAAAAAAGGTGGATGGGGATGGATTGTACTTACGATAACCGTAATTGTTCAATGTATAGCACATGGTTTACACATGTCATCGGGAATCATAATTTCAGCGTTTATCAATCGATTTCGTGAAAGTCTTCTGAATGCCGGTAAAAAAAATTTCCACTTCTGTTTATCGCATATCGCACTTGACTCACATACAAATTTATATAGGAATCGCTGGATCGTTATCGATAGCATCTAGTCTGATACTATCTCCTGTTATAATAACATTGTGTCGAAGAAAATCAACAAGATTGTTGGCCATTATCGGGGGACTGATTCTTTCGCTTGGTTGCTTATTTACATCGTTTGCTGTCCAATTTCATCAAGTGCTCTTCAGCTACGGTGAGTTTGCAGAAAGTTTGTCATCAATGTTCATTCCAGCTAATCCATGTGTTTTAGGCATCATCGTCGGTGTGGGTGTCGGAATGACGCGAGACTGTTCAATAATAATGATTGGTCAATACTTCAAAAAGAAGCGGGAATTTGTTGAGGTTTTAACAGTGGCTGGAAGCGGTCTCGGAATGGTTGTGATGTCAACGTTTCTGGAAAAGTCCATCGACGCAATCGGTTGGAGGTGAATATCTTTTTATTTTATTTCACATTTTATGTCGCTAATAAAATCGTTCATACATTTAGATATGGTTTACAATGCGTAACATTGAGTGCGTTTTCGACATTTTTCTTGGGTTTATTTTATCGATCGGCTGCATTGTATCATCCCCAACGTCGTGCAATTCTCCATTTGAAAACGCAAAAGCGTAAAGTAAAAGAAAAAAATCGTCGAAATAATCGTACACCATTTTTTGACTTTAAAACATTACGCAGTCAAACTGTGCGAATAATTTTATTATCGTCGGCCCTAAGTGCATTCGGCATTTATCTGCCAATTTTTCATTTGGCGGAGACAGTAAGAAGTGATAAATTGATGGGCGCCGCATTGCCGTTGCAAGTAAATATGGGATTCGGTTTCATTCTTGGATCGATTGTGTTCGGTGTTCTTGTCATACGAAATAATGCCGAGTGTCGAATTGGGCGACAGTATTTGTGTCAAGTATCATTGTTCATGTGCTCAATTTGTTTGCTTGCACTCACCAAAATACAAGCCAATTATGAAGGATATTTTATTATTGTCTGGACGTACGGTAAAATGGTTCATTCCCTTGTTTCGTGTGTGTGTGTGCGCGCTATTTTAAGAGAATGTTTATATTAAATGCTCCTTGTTTCGTGTCGTTTTTTTGTATATAGGTTTCTTTTGTGGCGGTTATCACTATTCATTAAGAGTTTATCTGTATGAACGTGTTCGCGCAAGGAATTTCTCGCAAGCATGGAGTTTTCTGCAATGCTCTCAATCGATACCAATCGTTGTTGGCGTCAATTTAGCGGAATTTCTTAATTGTCACGTATCACATAAAAGTGGTTATTTATTTGGATTCTTTTTCTTACTCAGCGGCAGTCTGATTCTTTTCTTGGTTGACGTTCACAAACGAAACATTTCTCGTCACAGACACATAAGGTATTTGCACATTGTTTTGAATGGATTTTCTTATTTTTCTTCTATTATGCAACAATATTCCTGGTGTGCAGGTCGAACGGATCAAAAAAAATATGTAAATTAAAGGATTGCCCTGAACATAGAAAACTGTCGTTTACACAAGAACCAGATAACGAAGAACCAGTGCACAATTTTAATGTTGGAAATTTGCTATTACATTCGGATGCGTTGGGAAATCAAATTAGCGAAGAATTTATCATTGAACCGAATGCAAGCGGTAATGTTATGATTTCATTGGATCCCGGTGCCGATAAACCCGAACTGACGTGCATCTCTGAAGAAGGTATCGCTGACATGGATCTACCTGATAATGTGTTCGACGATTTTGATTACATCGGAGATTGTATCACTTCGTGTAATAAGGTGAGCTCACCGAACCACTTTTAAATATGCTTAAAAAAACATTCGATTTTATTGAATTTTTTTAGGTTGAACAGTATCTTATGCTAAGTGAATTTGAGAATAACATAAATGCTGATTTTTCATCAAGTGTACATAAAAGAGACATGCATGGCATACAAGGTGAAACCACAATGACAACACGCACCAATGAGATTAAATAAAATGCCATTTCTAAAGTCATGATTAGATGTATTAGATATTTGTGTGTAAAATTAAAACTATTTTCATATAAAAACCACATTGCATTATTATTATGATAAAGTCATCTCGAAATTTGAAAACATCAGCTGGGATCTTTAAGAAGCGCCTATATTAGATATAATTATTTGGAAAAATATTGTTTAAAAAGGAAAATAAAATACTAGGGTTTATAGTTGTTCATGTTTTCGACCATTGAGTTCGTGTGGGAAATTAATGACCTTCACCTGCTACAATATCATGCTTTCGTGCAATTTATTTGTTACCAGGTTTTCTAGAATCATTTTAAATTCAATAATGAACTACTCCATTTTAACCGTTTAAAGTCAAAGCAAAACAATTAAATGAGAACGGATATACTTGCCATGTCAATTTCTCTATGGTCACATTTATATGGGGACATTAAAATTAATCTAAACCACTTTTTTCGGTGTTTGAATAGAAACAATGAAAAATCATGCCAATTAAATGAAACAAAGTTAGCGGCTAACAGACCTGTTATTAAATTGTTTAAGAAGCATTAAAATGTTGACGGTGTTTTTTAAGTAAGTTAATTTTGCATTTAAATTGTTCACTCCTTCAAATTATGTTTTTCAAAAATGTGCCTTTGGATTTTCTAGCAACAGTAATCATGGTGTTAAATTGTTACTAAACATTGTAAAATAGCTAATCATTTAAAAATACAAAAATCTGTTTTGCTAAGACTTGATTTGAAAAATTACAGAATAGTATCCATAAAAAAATCAATAGAATTTACTAAAACTGATACTTTTATTATCACCTCCAACAAAATCGGAATCCGCTTAAAAAGATGTCAAGACTTGAACCAAATTGTATTCATAAAATCAACGGAGAACATAATCATTGACATTTTCACACATGAAGGTATATTACTTTATTAAATATTTCAACGTGAAGAGACAATTTCTAAAATATTTATAGGCAGAAGATAAACGTTACTGCGTGGAAAGTATTTATTTTACTTATGCATTATATATTGCGTGTAAATTAAGCTGAAGCTTGTGTTTTCATTTAAATTGCACTGGTTTTATTAATTCAATTGCAGGTTAAAATTTCAAAGGCTTGGAATGCCAATTCTTGACCACCGTATGGGATATAGCAAGTGTTATGACTTGGTTGAACTTTTCCAATTGTAACCGATCCTTCGTGATGCACGCGCCCAATGAATAAAGGTTCGCCATCGGATGTCTCTCCTGCTGGTACAGCTTGTGGTGGAATTTGGTTGCCTTCAACCTGAATCCAGTTTGGACGACATCCAACTAAAACTTCGTAATCGCTATGTGGATGCTCTCCACCGCCAAAGGCAACGTAGGCGACATTGTGCGATGGAACCAATTTTCCTGGAATCAACTCGCCTTCATGGCGAGCACGAGCAACGAATAGTGGTTCACCATCGGTACCGCCTTGAACCGCTTCTGGAGGCACTGTTAATTGATCACAAAAAGATATAACATATCGAACAAAAATGGATATTTTAAAACAAACAAACCTTCTCCGTTTGATGCAGGCACCCAACATGGTGATCCAGTCGATTCACCTGCAAAACTACTACGAAGCTCGGTTGCTACTTGTTGTGAGCCTTGCCATCCCAAGTCTTGTGGTTGTGGATCTGCGAAATGAATAATTTCGAACGGTAAATAAATTGGTTTGGTTTATGCAGATTTTTAACTCAATACCATCAATAATCCATGATCCATTTGCTCCCCATCCAGTACAAACGCCCACGTAGTTGACCAAAAACGGTTGTGGATTGTGCCACGAAAGGAATGCAGCTGCCTCTCCTTCACGTCCAACTGTTACCACCTGATAAATGAAATGCATTAATAATGACAACAACCGTATCGGTAGTATAAACACTTACACCATCGATAACACGAATCCAAAAACCGCGGAATTCATTTGGACTTAAAATATTTGGAGTGTCAGCTTCGGCTACTTCAGGTTTAGTTTGATTGTAACGAATGACCGATTTCGAATTTTGCCATCCACCGATAAAAACCTCAACCACCGGATGGGTCTCATTTGGTTCACCGGTCAACGCCACGTGAGCATCGTTTGGTGCGCGAACACGGAATTGACAAAATCCATTTCGGATTGGATAGAAATGATACTCAAGAGCATCAGGAGTGTTTAATTCTGCCGATCCGGAAAAAAATAGAAGAAATTCAATTTATTTGTCTCTTGACTTTGAATTTGAAAACTAAAAAATAAATGAATTGTAATAAAAAAAGATATTTGCATGACATAAAATAAATTTTTTTTATGTCTTCAGCATTTTAAACATTGATACATTGTACCAAATGGCAACGAAAGAATGGATTGCATTGTCTATCTCCATTAGAGCGTTAAATAATCTGAAATGCTATAAATACTGGTGTTGTATTCCTTGTATGTATAAACGAATATTCCAACAAATATACAAACAACGAAAAAATTTGTCACAATGCGCAAATATATTCGATTTCAAATCAATTTTTTTAACCTTTGACACGAATAAATAAAATTTGAATAATTCACACATGTGCATCACCACTCTATAATATAGCAAGTAGACCGTGCGGTGCTGGGTGAGGTGAAGTTTTATTTTTAGGAGCGTTCGTCAAAATAAAGTAAGTCGCATGATATCACTATATTTTGATTATTTTCGTGCAAAATAAGTAATCAGTTGAAAACATTTAGTTTCTTTTTTCTATCTCCGTTCGCATGTTTGTTATTTTTTTCGCACAACAATCAATATAATTAATTGTTCAATGTTAATGTTACTTATTTGCAACTTCGAATAAAACGACGCATGACTGCATCTGCTATTGCCGTTTGCTGATTCAATTCGCTAGAATTTGTGTGAATTACAAATACATTGACGATTTAACTATGTAATTAAACACATTTTTGGCATGTATTAGAGTATAAGTTACGATTTTATATGGTCACTGGATCACATGAATCACATATCTAATGAGACATTCAATAGCACAGTCAATAACATTGCATCGATCAGCAATAACCTTATAATCAAATTCAAACCATTTGGGCGGTGCCTTTGCGCAAAAATAATACAAAAGTTTGAATCATCATATCGTTATTACATTTTTTTTTTAATGCTATGATAGCATCAACGCGAGCAAACGGAATATTTTCTAATATTTTCGTTTCTTTTTATTTTCATTCTGATGACGTTATGGCATCATCCATCCGTTCTCTTTTCTGGAATTCTCTACCTATTATCTATACGTTAACACACAACAAAGAAGAAAAATGGACCTAACGAAATGCTATGTGAATAAATTTATTTTATTTGGCGTACATCATTTGTGATGTTTTGATGATGTCATTTTCGGAATGCCTATGCCATCGCTGTGAGAGTCACGAAAAAAAAAAATATCTTCCTAACAGTTTGAATTCAATTTATACTACGCACTTGTATATCTTGAGTGTGATGCTTACTCTTTTCGACAAATGTTGTTTTCTGTCAATTATTTGTTTTTATTAACAACACGATTGCTGACTCAACTGTACTAAATATAGAAACATTTTCAACAAATACCTTAACCTGCCTGACAAAAATTCATGTTTTTTCGCTATTCAAAGGAACAATACAATATTTATATTTATGTAATTTTAAACTAATTACAATGTAATATGATCTTCTATTCTAAATTTTATTTCAAAAAATTCTATGCGAAAATGAATGATTATCAGACACATGCGAATAACTTTTGACTAACTTCAAAAATACTAATAGAGAATAGAGAGTTTAGCTCACCGATTGGCATCTTGTTAATTTTTCACCGTTTTGCACTGAAGAATAAAATGTTAATGATAATTGTAACGACCAACTTCGTACGATTACCGACTTTAAACTAAACACTTTGCAACTCTTCGATTGAATTTATTCAAATAGAAGTCGCAATATTCGTGTATACTCAAATGTCAATGTATTGGACAGTCAATATACTGCATACTACTCATAATAAATGAACACAAAAACACATATTTCGATTAATGTAGGTTTACTGTTCACATAATCGATGTGTATTGGCTTGATTCGTGGTTTATTTGCTTGTGTGTGTCTCTTTAAGTTTATATTATTGCGTAATAAAATAATACGAAAAAAACGGTAGCAAAAGTTTTGCGATGAGTCTTGGGTGTGTGCGTTCAACACATTCAATCACTGCTACGGTAAACATTTGCTACTGTTGTGTGCTTGTGCTGTATACAATTGGCAATGCGCCAGCATACACACATAGCCGATGGCATACTATTGTTGATATTGCCGTTGGCGTTGTGATCGTGTGGTATTGAGTTTTGGCGTATGAGTGAATAGTTGGGCTTGTGAGCATTAGTTTGAGTGTTCGTTTTGTTTATACCGGTGCATGCTGACTTGTATCATTTTGTCATGTTCAAAACACAGGGTGATCATTATGAGTATTTGCTTTTATGTTAGATAAAGACATCTCTTTTTATATGACTTATTTTTTAGGGTGTATGGCCATTTTTTTTAAAGAACAATTAATCATGAAAACCGTTTTGATTAATCGTTCAAATTACACTATACTAACAAATATATTCATTTATTTAAACGATGGTAAGTTTGTTGCAATTTAGATAGTAGAATTAGGTATTTTTGGCTCTTAAATATGTGCGTAAATGTTATGTTGAATGAACGTATCCAAATTGTTCATTAGTAGAAAGACATTTGAAACAAAAAATGGAAAATAATTTTCACCGAATTTATTACGTACAATAGTAGACTTAAAACAAGTTCTTATAGCTAAGATTTTTTGACATTTAATTAATCGCTTAAAAAGAATACATTTTGATAAAAAAATATATCGTCTTTAAATTTCTCTAAATAAATAATGACCCTTTTTTATCTTTCCCTGTTGTGCAAAATGTTCTTATCAAAATTTTGTACCTTTTTGAATACTAACATTAAATACATCAATTGTAATGAATACAACACTTATATTCGAATATTAAAATGAGAGAGAGCTCCTTTCAAATAGTCTATTTTAAATCAAATTTTTAACAAATATTATCACAGAGACAGAGTTGAAGTATTTATATTAATGAACAATCAATTGAAAAGTTTTTGTACTTTGAATATTTTCCGATGAACCATATCCAGATTAGACCCGTAAGCAAAATCGATGTGATTGTAACCAGGAAATTTGGAAATAGCTACCGGATAGCGTCCCATAGCGTTTGCTAACAATGGAACATTCTAAAAATAGTTTCAAATTGTTGCAATCATCATAAAAGAAAATAAACCAATAAAATTATTCGAAAATACCTCTGAAGGAGTGAGAAAATCATTGGTACCGTGCATGATATGCACGTTTGTACGAACATTTGACAATTTATATGGCGGCGGTCGTTCAGTTCCGTACATTTTCATATTCGTTTCAATGCCGTGATCATAGTGTTGAAAACGTCCTACAAATATAGGCGAAAGAAATTAATCTCACAATCAATTAAGCATAATATTTCTTTTTTTTTCAACTTACGTGTTGCGGCAATTTGAAAATAATGGACAAATTGTTTGTAACTGGCGCCGGCCGGTATATGATTGATGATTGTTGCCAACAATTCGTCAAAATAGAGATGAGATGGACCGAACAAGATGAATACAACACTTCGGCATAGTTCTCTTCCAGTTGGTCGCATACAAAATTGGCTAACTGCTTTAATTATGTCCATGTATGGACGTGAATGTGATAAGACTTCGTGCATGCCATTGGTTTTAAGCCACGCCTTTAGGAGAAAAGATAAAGATCATGTTATTTATATAGTGATATCAACATTTCAGTGCCGCAAATCGCCAACCTTCGTTCAGTCTTGGGCTTGCGATCTAACTTCAATACTCCATGTTACTTCAATACTCGTAAAATATTGAAAAAATGAAGTATTGTTTTTGCACTTCAAACGCATATGTGAAATTCGCGGTTTTTATTTTTGTTGTAAAATAATAATGCGAATTTCAAAATGATGTTTTTTTTTCACAAGAATATTATAATCTGCCGGACATTATATTGTGATATTTTCAGGCAGCTGACTCAGATCAAGAAGCTAACGTCAGGCGCTGAAGTGATTGTTAAAAAAACACTTACATTGCTGCTATCGCTATAAAAATCACTTCTATTGTTTCCACTCCATTTCAGCGTCTGGCGTTAGCTTCCTGAGCTGAGTTAGCTGCGTGAAAATATCTCAATATAATGTCTGCAATTTGCAATGACATTAATCCATTTCACTACTACTTTACATATTAAAACTGAGAAACGTTTGTGGCATAAAGTATATGCGACACCGAAAACATAAACTTTTATCATAAAATATCAAATCTGATGACGTTGCCTTTTCTTATAATTTGGCCGTGAATTAATAGTGTAAAATTGTAAATTTTGTAAGATAAAACTCAATACTTTTCCTTTCACGCTATGTGATTAGATCTACTAAAGTGAAAGTGTAAACGTACCGTCATCACATTGACACTCTCCATAGACCTTGGAACAAGTGGATGATTATGTTTGAGAATAACGGGAGGGGTCATCAAATGAGCTAAAACACCAAATCAATTAGAATGAGTGAAAGTGAAACAAAACAAATAAAACTGCAACCTACCGATGGCAATTTTGTCATTGTATTGTGGCAGTTCAGAGAGCATAACATAAAACGCTGTAACACCTTGCGAATGACCCACATATGTGATTTTTGTTTGGTTCGTGTGTTCTAAAATATAATCAATAGTTGCCGGTATGTCAACAACACCAATTTCATGCCAGCTAAAATCCCAAAATGTTGGATCATTTGGATGCTTAGTTATATGACGTCTGCTATAAGTATTTCCTCTGGCATTACCAATCCAAACATCGAATCCTAAGTGAAAAGAATTAAAAAAAAAAACCATGTAATTTCGTAACAATAGAAAATTGTTTTGTTTGGACTGAGATCGTTTTTGTATCTTACCTGCATCAGCGAACTTATAGGCAGCCGATGAATTGCGTCCGAATGTAAGAAATGCTGGTGCTGCGCTAGTCATTCCTACAGTTTATTGTATTAGAAAGCAGAAATTCTTTCAATTTAGAAAGTTTAACACGCGCCATTCCACTGGCTCGAAATCATTTTGAAACCCTAACAAAAACTTGATTTTTTTGAATAATTTATTAATTGAGCGATATCGATCGTACCGTGCATCAGTAGAATAACTTTTTTATTGTCTCGTTTTGCGTTCATGTTGGGGATCCGATACACACTTAAAATATAGCCGTCTTTTGTTTGAAGTGTATGCTTCTCTGCCGGATAATGTTCAGATTGTATCATATCCATCTGAAGCGAAAGAAATATTGCAAAATTTGTTCAAATTCATTGCATTGCACAATATTAACGGTTCACATGCGATCGAGTTCATATACTCACAACAGAATCACAATCGATGAACGGTGTTATTGAAATGAATATTATTCCAAGTAAATAAATCTTTGACCACATCTTTATTTTCTTTCAAATACACTTTTATGTTATTCTTTTTTAATCGATAGACACCTTTTGCCTCTGCGTTTCGAATTCAAATACAACGATTTATTCACAAAACAATCGATTTTATATAGTTGCACCGCCAAACACAAACAACCGAAATAGAATGGAATTATTTTATTCTAATTTAAATCACCGAACCTATTTTTATTATCAAAAACAATCAATGTAAATTTAGATGCTTATTTTTAGTCGATCTAAAAAAGTGTACGTGCAACCGAACATTGAAACGAAACGACTGAAACAAATAACAGATGGACAATCAACTTTATCAACCAGTCGAAATGCAGTCCGATTTCCAAATAGTTCTGTTTTTTAATAATTTTTCGTGTGTGTAAGACGGTCGGGCGCGCGAGCGATACGAAAAGACTGACAAACGAAACCTTGTACTTGTACCACCTAATATATTATAATGTTATTCATATACTACATGTCACTAGTTGACTGACACACCGTTTTGTACTTCTATCGCATTTTGTAAGATGCCCGTGGAAAAATAGTAACTACACATTTTACCGAAAAATCAAAAACCGGCTATGGCCAAAAAAACTGGTTTCAATGCTTACAATTGCATGTTATCGCTCAAATTTCATTCCATGACATTGCCACAAAACAATTCAACGTACATTTATATACCACAGATATTGTGTATTCATTAATGGGCACTCTCATCGTCGCAATTATTATTGTGATTTGTGCAAATGTTCTTTTCGATGTATCTTTGTAACGTGTGTTTGTGTACTTTTGTCATTCTATGTGCGTAAAACATCTATTCACGACCACTCTACTTCCTGTCCATCACAAATTGAGTAAATGTGACCATGCAAAAAATATCGATACAAAGGTTTCACGAAAAAAAAATTCAATTTCGGTAAAAAATTTGAAAGTAAACAACAGTCATGATAGTGGTTCAGCAGTAAACAAACGGTTTTTTCTTCTGCGGAAAAGAAGGAGTTCAAAAGATCAATCTTCCAATAATTGCACTGTAATTGCTTAATAAATTCATCTTTTGTGACGTATTTTGCCATCCAAAATGAATGAATTTGATGTCAATTAATTTTTTCGAATAATTATTATCAATACAACGTCTTTTATTCAGTGTGATAAACACATAAATGTTTTTAATGCAAAGTTTTATCGTGCACCAAAAAAACTGGTTTTATATTCATTTAGTATCACGTAGACATAATGTTCTTTAGATGGTTATACATTAGTTTTCCATAAGATTGTTCAATAATTAGTTGTTTTACAGAATACCACAAATTACTTATAGTTCGGACTTTTAAGTTTCATTAATCAAATGAAGAAGAATAATGACTTCAATTACGTTATATTTTGAATTACTCGAGCACATGCGGCTTGTTCGGATGATCAAAGTGATCTCCAGTTTTAATTTCTTGCCGCGAATTGATGCCCGTACAAAGAGAAACAAAATTATTCAGGTAATGCGATCTCTTACAATTTATTTATGGTCGAATATCGTGATAATATTTTGATCGCATTTATTTTACTCTCATGAAATATGTAGATATTGCTGTTCAAATGAAAATATCCACAATTTTGTTCGCTTCTACGGAAAATTTATTCTGTGAACATAAACAATTATCACAACAATTTGATTGAATACTTTTACTTTGATTTGCATATCATATGCATATTATTTACATTGAACACGAAATCATGAAGAATTGATTTTTTTTCGCAGTTTTCGATGGCATCAGTTTCTTCCGACTACTCTTTGTGCAAAATAAAAAAAAGAGAGAAATGCGAATTCGTTTGTTGAACCCCATATCTTTGTTTATTCAGTGAATCAATTTTTCTTAGAAATATTAACGTGCTAAATAATTTGAATCACACAAATTCTTTGAAAGTGTTCTTCAGCAACTTCATTTCAATCATATAACCGTATTTCGCATAGATCAATAAAGATTTTGTGACTGAAATAATAAGAACAGATTTGTCTATTGGGTTTTTCAAGAGAATTGGGGTTTTCTAGAGAGTGTTTAAGAATTGGTAGTCTATTTCGTAGAGTGAATTTTTATAGTGTACAACGCTCACTTAAAGTAAAGTACAATAAATGTATGTTCAAAAAAAATATCCGCATGTAATTTTGGACTAATTAGTAAACGACGTCAATTACAGCTCAATAGGCATTGTTACCAATCATTCCCTAAACAAATTCATTGTAAAATGAGAATACATGAAGAGACTAGACACGTCAAAAATCAAAGTTCAAAGTATAATAGAATCATGATTAAACTTTTTCCAAATAAAAACGTTGCGTGATTATGGTGCATTGTCTAATTAAAACAAGAACCGCCATTCAGTTGAATAAAAAATATTTATATTTCATTTTGCACATCAGACAAATTTAAAGTTAACATTTTACTCAATGTTTACAAAGAAGAAAATGGCATGATATTTATTTTTAGCATAAGCATGATTAAGAAGTTAAATCAGTCTTTTACGATGACGACCCCGAAAATTGAATTCATCCAATTGCAAGTACGATTTTTTTATGAATTTGTAGTATTCTCTTTCCAGACAAATGACAACCGAAAATAGAATAGATGATGAAAATGTTAAATTATTTATAGCGGTGAGAGGAAACAATGATTTGACAGGGAGACAGATATGTCATTTTCTTTTAAAGTGAGATAATAGTTTATATTTTTCAAGTTTGATACTCTTACTGCTCACTTCCATCGACCGTTCGTTTATCAAAATGTGCAACAAATACTTTTTACGCATCGTTCAATGAATGATAATTATATTCCAAAACAAAAGTATAATATCTATTTGACGGTGACATTCAAACCTGGTCTTTAGTGTGTAAGATGCATGCAAAGAAGAATTGATTGATAAAATAAAAAGTAGAGAAAATTTGTTAACGAATATCCATAAAAATGATGCGCCGGTATATTTTTTCAACGCGTTGAACATAAAATGATTGATAATATTTCATTTCAATAGAATATCTTTGATATTTTAAATATTTTCTTATGAATTTTATCCAGATTCGATCCAAAAACAAAATCAATGTGATTGAAGCCGGGAACATGTGAAATGGCTACTGGATAGCAACCCATGGCTTTTGCCAATAATGGAACATTCTGTCAAAATCGCATTCAATTAGAAGCTGAAACATGAAACATTTAATTTTCGACATACCTCTGTTTGAGTTAGTAAGTCGTTAGCTCCTTGAAGAATGTGAACTTTGGCACGAACGTTGGTTAAATTGTATTCTGGAGGTTTTGGCGTGCCGTAGATCTTCAAATTCATTTTGATACCGTGATCGTAATGTTGAAAACGATCTAAGTTTAAAAACGATTTCCCATTTATCCCATTTTAAAATAGAGTATATTTTAACTTACGCGCCACAGCAATTTGTACATAATGAATAAATTGTTTATAACTCGAACCGGCCGGTATATGATTGATGATTTTTGCCAACAAATCATCTTTGTAAAGATTTGATGGGCCAAACAAGATGTATACAACACTTCGGCATATATCCCTTCCAGTCTGACTCATACAGAATCGACTTGCAATTTCGAACATATCGATATAGGGGCTTGAATGTGAAAACAATTCATAGATCCCATTGGTTCGCAACCATGCCTAAAATGATTTTTT